TTGGTTTTATAGAAAACAAATTTTAAATATAAATAATTTGTTCACTTTGCTTGTGCACAAGGGTGTGAGTAGTAAGATTTGTGTTGGGGAAGGATATATAACGATCTCCCCTAGGTATTAACATACAAATAAGTGGGCGTGAGTTATTCCTTTGCTTCCATCGACCTTCGTCATTAAATCTTTCACAGAAATAGCGAATAATCATTTCGATTGGTATAAACCACATACACATCATATAAATATAGATTTAAAGAAGGCACTCCATTTTATATACATACAGGTCTATATAGGTAATACCTTCACGGCTAAATAATTGTTTCTTTGAAGACATAGATTTCATTTTATTTTTTTCACGTTTGTATACATAATACAGCATTTATTAGTTTTCTTCTTGTAATATTGTTTGCGTTGTAGCTCGCCATATCTTGTTTGTACTTAAGGAATGGCGTTCTCTTTAGAAATTGTTTACGTTATTATGTTTTATCCTTTCATTGACGACTATAACATTTATGGTAATACTGTTTCATTACACCTCTCACCCCGAAACGATAAAAATAAATGCACAATTAAGTCTCTGTTTGTATATATTTATTTAATTTTTTTACACATGATTTTGTATGTGTGTTATGAGACTGTTTTAGTTTAAAACTATGCACCTCAATTCAAAATCCGTGCATTTGCTTTGTTAAGCAGACCGTCTCAATAATAATAATAATAAAAACTTCTTATCTATGCGTGCATGTGTAATACGATGTTTCTACACACGTTTTGTGAGACCAAATCGTAACGAAAACAGAAATCGCGAATTCGTCGATGACGAAACATTGTAGATAGAGAATATTATGTGTAACGTGTACACTAAATAATATATATTATATAGTTATATTTACACGTAGTGTGATTTTTAAACGTCTAATAAACCCGATAAAGCAATATAATAATCGGCATGTCATTGTTTTGTTATACAAAATTCGAAAGAGTGTATACATCAAACACTACACGATTATATTTTATTTCCTAATAATAATTAAACGAACCATAATAATTAAACACTCTCGAATGCGTTGTTATATATTTGTGTTATAATATATATATAATATATTTATGTTAACTTAGGTACGTGAGCGCACAATAATGTTGTGTCGTACCTTTAATATTATTTTTACTTACAGATTAAACCTATTAACGCAACGTAAAATATGTTAATGTACGTATGTAGATAGTTAATTTTTAATATTGTTGTCTATAAGAGTAATTAATGGTTTTGTTTTGTGATGATGACTTTCTATTGGTATACGATTCCTGTGCAGGTATAAAATGTAAAATCTATTATAGCTTTCAATGTACACTACGCGTTGCTTGAAAACATCACATATATTACAATGGAGAAAACGAAACATGTGAATGGTTCAATCGATTTAAATTATATCAATTATTATTATTGCTATTATTATAATTATTATTATTATTATTATAAGGTCAAACATTTCAATTAACGTGTATACACATATATGCTGTTTATACTCTTTGTTATACACTTTAATATATCGTGTAGTAATATAATAATAATGAGCTGTTTAATTCCTCGATTTCGATTAAAAAATATATACAATTAATCGCTGGTAGTACACATTTTTTCCGTCGAAATTGTAATCTATTAAAAATAACCGATTTTAATGATCTCTCATTAAAATAATGTATTCATATTACGATTAGTCGGTCACACGACGATTCTACGTACATGCGTCTCGTATTTCTTTGCATTTAGGAATATTATACATATTATATTAATTAATACTACCGATCCGCATTTTTCAACTTTACGTTCAGTTATGTTTACATTAGCATAATAATTTTATTAGGTTATGAGTTTGTTGTGGTCGCGCTCGCTTAGAAACAATTTACCTACTATCGGTTTCTTGTTTTTTTTTTATATACTTATTTTATTTATTTAATACACACATAGTATAATATTATATAAATACCATAATATCGATTCCTTTAAACTTAGAATTAACACAATTAACTCTCGCGTTTATCCTTACAAATCGGTACGGTATTCAAATGAAAATATATCCTATGATAGATAAGAATACATATTGTCTTGTTTTTCATTTTGTGAACGGAGTGTTTTCTTTTTGACTCACATCTATCCTTATTGTCAAAATATAATATTTTTGATTAGATAATTTGTACTCTTCGTAACGCCGTGTGTGTAGGTAAAAGAACTCAAGTATGTCGTCATCGAACGAAATAAATATGCACTCATGTTTTACTACATAATATAAATACACTACCTATTTATTATTTATAGTATTTTTTCGACCCGGCAATGTTGTCGGGGAATGAAAATTGGTACGACGAAAAATTTATTTGAATGGTAAAAATGAATAAAACAGTAAAATTTCGCCACCTCTATACATCCCCTGCGCACAAATAGGATGACAATTATTTTATACGTGTTATTGGCAAATATTTTCTATCCAATTTATTTGTATATGCTCATATCAAACTCAAACTTGAATTATATTTAAAGTATAAAAGATACTACAAAGCCATACATGTAAATAACGCGTAAGTATACAACAGTGGCGTAGCCAGGATTTTTAAATGGGGGGGGCTAACCACTTTTTTTGGATAAGTAAAGTAAGAGAGAATATGAGAATTGACCCTTAACCCCCCCCCCCACCATCTACCACCAAGTTTCTAAACGTAATTCAAGCATTTTAGTATAGTTTTAAAAATATTTATTAATATATGATTTATAATAATAATAATTTTGGTTTCAGTGTTCAGTCATTTGCTCCACTCTAACAGCTGCATTCTCTTAGGCGAATTTCTGGCAAATTCAGCTATTATTTCACTTTCATCGAATTGCTCTTTTTTATTTATATTAGCCATAGCTAACCCATTCAGTCTGTTTTCCGACATGGTGTTTCTTAAAAAAAATTTTAAGCGATTAAGTGCTGAAAAAGTTCTTTCCGGAGTGAAAGAGGTAACTGGTAACGTGGAGAATAATTGTAAAAGTATTTTAATGTTAGGTCGAAGATTGGTGCGATGAGAGAGTGAATCAAGAGCAAAATTCGGTTTTGGAATAGTATTTTGACTCCATTGTTTCCTCCATATGAACAGGTCAGCTCTGATTGTAGATGAGGTATCATCATGGAGATCTTGGACATATATTTTAGCAGGTTTTATAATATTTTTATCGTCATACATATTTAAATTGGTCGGAATAAGTCCTTCAAGTGGCATAACATCAATAAGCCTTTGATTAAAACGAGCATTGATTCTATTAAATAGTCAAGATACATTATATATATAAACACGGCCCATGGGGGAGGCTATAGCCCTCTTAGCCTTCCTCTTGGCTACGCCACTGGTATACAATATACATTTGAATTATATTAAATATAGATGGAAAAATACGCGCATAAATAATATAATAATAAATCAACACGATGTGTAGATACTAGAGCTCTACACGGTCTATTTTTTTAAAGACCGAACCAGAGTGATACATTTTAACTTAGACGACCAAGACCAGACCAGACCTATGAAATAAAAAATGAAACCAGGCTGGATCGGGCCGTATCATTAAAAATGTATATTTAATGTATCATTTAGAAAATACCATGACCGTACTTTTAAAAATAAGACCGAATAACGTAAAATGTTCAAAATGAAATATAAAACCATATCATCTATAAAATTGCCTTCAATGTATATTATCATTAACTCGAGTTCTACTTCTAGATCTATATTCTATAATAAGGAAATATTATGTCGCCAATAAAACCATGCAAAAACGCGATGAGCTATTTTGGTGTCCTAAAACATTAATATCTGAGTTAAAACAACATATTATGTTGGGTATTCTTTTACTATCTAATATATATGTAAAATCATATTAAATTGTTATTCAAAATTAAAACCATTATTATCTTATTGAACGAACCAGACTGAACTGATGTTTTTTTTTTTTTTTTGTAAACAGGAGACTAGACCGGATCCGACCACATTAAATTGATAAACAAAAAGTCCGGACAGGTCTAGACCAGACCGTGTAGAGCTCTAGTAGATATTCGGACAAAAATTGTACCAGTTTTAGTGCGCGTAGTTGCAAATTTCAATCACTAAACGCGTTTATAGTTCTCTCGTTACTTGCTTTCGAACTTATCTAAAATCACAAGTACTATTAAATAATAACATACAATATGTTGGAAATTCGTGTTTTTCAATTTTAGTATACAGTTCGTTTTGACTCACACTATATAAACAAAACGTATCAATGCGTTTAAGGAACGGTGAATGTATTATTATGTCGTCTTTCGTTATTAACGTTTGAGTTCAAGTGCCATGTGAAACGTGCGCATGACTCATACCTTTTGTATTCTCATCGTTTCTTATATCGAAAACAGTTATGATTGTTACATCTTTAGGGGTTCCCGAGGATGTTAAATAAATCCGTTAAAACTGGTTATGTTCTCTAGATTAGATACGATTTTTAGTTTAGAAATAATATATGATGTATAAAGGTATAACATTTTTTTTGAATATGGCTGAAATATAAATATTTGAATATTTTGCTAAAATTATTGGGACAAATTTAATACTGATTGATATCATTGGTTACTCCAGTATCATAGTGAACGTTTATGGTTATTAGAGTACAATATATATTTTAGTACTCACCCCTATCTCTTTCATAAATATACTAGATCTTTGAATTGTTTTAAGGTTACATGTTTTATGATTTTGTGCTTATAAATCTACATTTTAAAACAATGTAAATAATTATCAAAACGATTAAGTTTTTACTATTAAAATAAATCCTACTAAATTTAAACTATTACGGGCCTAGACGTATTATTAATAATCTACGCTACAGCTACAAAATTCAGATGTATTACTTAGTATATTCTTATGTGAGAGTGTGCATTTTTACACGTGGTTCTTTTGGTGTACCTAACTGAGGGCTCGTTTTCGTGATATTACAGGACGCAATGAGTTGATCGCCAGGTATATAAAACTTCGCACCGGCAAAACACGAACGCGGAAACAAGTCAGTTCTCACATCCAGGTATTGGCACGTCGCAAGCTGCGAGAAATCCAAGCCAAACTCAAAGTGGTGAGTACCATCCAACCGAAGGCTGAAGTTCATTTAAATATCATATATCTATATACACAGTGGCGTATCCATGGGAGTGTTTGGGGATCAGAACCCCCCCCCCCCCCCCATGAACCTGAGATGGTAAATTAACTTTTACAAGATACACGGTTTTTTCTTTAACATTTTTAAATTTTAGAATTTTGACTTTTAAATCATATTAATAGTTTGTGTAAACACTATAACGTATTATACACACATTACACACACACACAAGTCATAACATTATGATCATATTTAGATACTTTACTACTACTTTGATAATTTTTGCTTGGGAACATATTAGGTTTTCTACAACGGTTGATTCTAAATCGATCGTCTAGTCCCGATAACTGAGATAAAAGCAATATCATTGTCTATATTCAAATTTTATTTTAGGTACACCTATTACATTCGCGGCTCGCCGATCATTTAACACAAGCACCTTATTATGTAAAACTAATAGTTATGTTTTACTTACTACTCGTTTATTAATTTATATTTGACATTTGTATTCCATTATAGTAAGATATTTTTAAAGTTTAATTTTTAGTATATCCAAGTGATTAGACAGAAAATATTCTAATATCTGTGTTCCTATATGAGTTCCTAGTTTCTAAATTGTTATTATTATTATTATTATTTATTATTATAAGCAAATTTTCTAACAAATAAGCAGACTAGAAAAATTAATTATTTTTTTTACCTGAGTAAAAACTAATGTCAACTAGACTTAAAAATACCGAGATCAATACAAATAGTAGTCAAAATTATAGTGATAAGATTAAATATATATAAATTTTCTGCCCCCCCCCCCCCATATAAAAAGTTCCTGGCTACGCCACTGTATATACATTACTTCTAATGTACAGAATAATGTTTAAATCAAACGTTTCGTATAAAAATCAAATACTATATATACATTCGTTTATGACAGAAACCGTTTATAACAACGACACGTGGAAGAGATCGATAAAAAACGGTCTTCTCATGGATATAAATGGAGGGACTCGGGAGTACTTAGCATTCTTAGAGCCATTTTAAGCACACCCTAAGATACGTACGTAATGGGTGAAATACGAAGACTGTTTTTGTTCTTGAAACCTTCTGGAATCGAGCCTTTATACGTAGCATCCTAACCGATGTGTACAGGGACCAACGTGTAGTAGACCCAGAAAATGTTAGTCGTATTATAAACGGTTTCCACTGCATTTATATAACATCAAATCATTACTTTACGTAGACATTGGTTTTTTTTTAAAAAAATTTTCCTGTAATTATTGTCTTATATATACTAGTGGAATTAGTATTATGTATCTAAGTATGTTAGAGGTAGAGTGTAACGTGTGTTGTGGGGCTGTAGGTGGTACCCACGGAGCATGCGGCCAAGGAGAAAGCGTTGCAGACCATGTCGGCAATGTCCAGCGCACAGATCGTGTCGGCGTCAGCAACGGTCGCAGCAATACACACCAAGGGACTAGCCAGCTTGGCGTCATATCCGCCCGGTGCACCGCCCCCGCCGGTGAGTACGCTGCAAACGCTCCCAACGCACGCTACCTCTTGTATTTACGTACGCTTGTCTAGTAGCTTGTTTGTTTACGGGCCACGCGTGTGTCGTCCTTCCCCGTCATTCAACTACTGCCACCGTTTAACGTTTGGTTTTTCGTTATTTTCTGTTACAGTTTTGGCAGCCAGGATTGCAGCCGGGCACGTCGCAAGAGTGAGTATTATAACACGTATATTATATTATAACACGTGTGTACACGCACGCAGCGATACTACATACGATCGACTATTATACCCAAGGCTTGAAGTGACTGAAGGGACTCTATCATTTTATCACAGCTCATTAAAAACTCGTCCCTTTTAAAATTTTCTTCTAAATTCACTAAAACATTAAACTATTTAATCAGAATAAAAATTACTATTTGTTATAATATTTGTTTTGTTTTATACAATTATTATATAAATAAATAATCGTTATTTGTTACGTTAACAGTCGACCAGTGCCATCCTAACTACCAAAAACTCCATAGGGTAATAAAATTTGACGCCCCTTCACTTCCCTAATTTTTTTTTTTAATAAAATTGACATCGCATTTTTAGTATATAATTTTCTTTATTCCTTGAATGTGTTTTAGGTTAAATTATTTATCAATAATATTTTATCCTGCGGTAACATTTATGCATTATTTTAAGCACGTAACACATTATTCACATTATTTAATAGTTTAGGTATAATGTACAGTTTTTTTTTTTTTTTATCTAAAATAAAACACCGAATTTTTCTCATTATCATCAATTTTTATGACGCTCCTTAAATTTATATTACTTTGGGCGCCCTTAGGGCACTTACCCCATTCCTCCCTCCCTCCTTGAGACGGTCATGCAGTCGATCGTATATAACCGATAGTTCCAAGTAACATATGTATTACAAATAATAACGAAATTTTATTAAATATTCATTATAGTCCCCCTTCCGATTTGTTGCCACTTTAAGCTTTGATCATTTGCTCCTCCCTCTTTTGAATTCGGGTCTTATGTGTTTTTCGATTTTCCCTCCGCAGCGTCAAACCGTTCGCCCAAGGATATCCGAGCAGTGGATCCACCGGCCTGAAACCTCCGTCCACTGCCGTATCGTCCGAAATTCAACCTCCAAGCGTCCCACCATGGGATGGTAGGGCGATCGCTACACACAAGCTGCGTTTGGTCGAGTTTTCCGCGTTCATGGAACACCAACGAGAACCTGAAATCGTAAATTACTCTTCTCTTAATGAAGCACATAATATGTTAATTTGAACTTAATTTTTCTTCACAGTATCAGAAACATCTTTTCGTGCACATTGGAGGACCCGTGAGCTATTCAGATCCTCTATTAGAAGTGAGTATTTATTTTGCTGCACTTTTTTATATTGTACACTCTTTTGTATACAATGTGTGATATTCGTTCCGTTTCAGTCTGTGGATGTCCGACAGATTTACGATAAATTCCCAGAGAAAAAAGGAGGCCTCAAAGAGTTGTACGACAAAGGTCCCCAAAATGCATTTTTCCTCGTCAAGTTCTGGGCAGATCTCAATTCGAACATTCACGACGAAGTTGGTGCTTTCTATGGTGTCACCAGCCAGTGAGTTTTCTCATACCTGTATACAGTAGAGGTATGGCCAAGGGTAAGACTTAACTAATTATCCGTTCTTTTTCTCTCCACTTTTCATAGATACGAGAGCTCTGAAAATATGACCATAACGTGTTCAACCAAAGTCTGTTCGTTTGGCAAACAAGTGGTGGAGAAAGTCGAGACGGAGTATGCCCGATTCGAAAACGGTCGGTTTATCTTCCGTATACACAGGTCGCCCATGTGCGAGTATATGATCAATTTCATCCACAAGCTCAAACATTTACCCGAGAAATACATGATGAACTCGGTACTAGAAAATTTCACCATACTACAGGTGCGTAATGTCCCGTTGCTTTCGATTATTAATTGCATCAGTGTGTCTGACCGCCGTTCCACCGGTTTTGTGTCCCCGCAGGTGGTTACCAACCGAGAAACCCACGAGACTTTACTTTGCACTGCGTACGTCTTTGAAGTATCCACGTCGGAACACGGCGCACAACACCACATGTACAGACTGGTCAAAGACTAAGGGGATGTGTACCTATGAATATATATATATATAATTTACTATATGGACTATTTGAAGTTGATTGGTGCTGTTCGGTTGTTTCAGTCATACACACACCATATTTAATCGTCACAAATATATTACACGATCGCTTTCCAAACAAAGAATGTGTCCCTCTCCATTCTCTAACACTCCTCACCATCCCCGCTAAATGGACAGTTATATTTTGTTTGTGATTTCACCCAATACCAAAATATTCTCCCTTTATAAATTTAATATGTATAGGTAATGTTTACCTAATGAGATGAATTATTATTATCAATATTATTATTAATTTTATTATAGTTATAATTATTTTGATCCTGTCGTCTTGTCGATGACTTGTTTAACCGAGGGAATCAGTATCGTCTACCTGACATATATTTTAGATTATTGTGTACTTTTTTTTTTATGTATCCCTTTGATTTTTACCATTTTTTTTTCTATTTTTATTTTATTTACGCTAATTTATTATTAGATCATTATTTTTTGTGTTAATATTAATGCGAAATGCTCGTAATCTATACTGACATGCAAACAATTGATTTGCTTATACAACCCAATGCATGTTAATATTTATTGAATTCGACATTATGAGACCGAGATTTTTAGGGTTTAAAATTAATTTGAAAATTATTACATATTTTGTACTTAAAAATTTGGTTGACTGAATCCTGTTGCAATCCTTATTGAATGTTGTAAAAATGATGTAATTTTGTAGATTAATTTGTATATTATAAATATATATATAATATTATTTTTTAAAGTAAAAAACTAAGAAACAAACTTAACAAAAAAAAAAAAAATTAAAAAAAATATTGTAATGAACCCACGTTTTTAAGATATTTAAACATGTAGGAAGTTAATTTATAAATAATATATGTATTTGTAAAATCATACTTAGAAATGATTTCATTTGATCTCTGGGTCTTTCCTCAAACGATCCGTTTGAAAACTAAGCAAAAAATAATAATATGTAATATTACATTTTTTATTTATATTTTATTGAAATTTTATTTGGAAAAGAAATGTTCGAGATATTTTTATTATTTTATTTTATACTTATTTTTTCACTTTATACTATTATTATGTAAAACATACTCCCAGTATCAAGCTTACATGCGTATATACATAAACTAAAAATTAACTTTTATTAAAATGTTACCAAAAATGAAAAAACGTTGAGTGGCGTGTTGAAAATAATATAATTTAAATAATAATATAATTATAAATTTACGATTCTCAAAGTCCAGTGAGTCGAAAAACCAAAATGAAAATCTACTTAATGAAAGTAAACAATAATTACATGAAATAAATGATAGAAATTTTATATATTATATAATGTATGTGTATTGTGAAATTATTATACTGGTTTACTGTTGACAGCTATTATCAGTATTTATTTTTTTTTTTTCAATGTATGTAAGCATATTATTTTATGTTAATGTGCAATGTTATAAAAGTTTAATAATTATTTTGTATATTTTATATTTTATTTATATATATTTTAACTTTTAAGTTAAACTATTTTTTTTTTTTTTTAATTATAATTTCTTTTTTTTTTAAAAAAAAAAAACTAATAATTTTTTTGTGTCCATTAGTCCAAATGTGTGCAAGTGTACAAAAGCTTCCTGAAATTGCCTTTGTACACTTTTTTTGAAATGAATAAAAAAATTATTTATTTTTTTGATAAAATCTACTGTTTTCTCAATTATTTCCTAGACTAAGTTCTAAACTTGGAAACTACATAATTTCAATGGCTAATACAATTTTTTTCATAAAATATATAGGATTGATATAGAAGTATTTAGAAGTATACATTTACTTAGATAGGTAATCATGGAATACAGAGTTTAAAAAGAAGCTGAAAAATAAAATTAATAAAGAAACAAAATTTGAGAGAGAAATGGTTAGAAGAAATTTACCGAGAAATTGAACAATTGTTTAGTCATAAAAGGATGGATCAATAACTTAATATTATTAAAGAAATTTTTCAGAGGTTTTTAAATAGCAAAATAAAAGACATTGATAAAAACTTGATCCTGGACAATGAAAATACAAGATGGAAACAATATCTTAAATTTCTATATCAGGAAAGAGAAGTAATCTTAGGAATTTAACAAAACTTTAAAATAAAATGAAAACATGTAAAGCAGCCGATATATATAAAATGGCTATGAAACGAGCTATTTAAGTTATTGATCGATAAATACATTACCTTAGAAATCCCAAAAGACTTAAAAGAAAGCTATATAATGCATATGCCTAAAGCCAACAACTGATAAAGGTTATAAATTTAGAATAAATTTAATGGTACTTGTAATCAAAATTCTAGTAATTATATACAATCGATTTGAAAACATACTTGTAGTAGAAAAATAATTAAACAATGACCTATTCATGTCCATAAGGAATAAAAGAACTAGAAAAGCAAATAGAATTTAGTAATGATACACTTATAACGTTTATAGAATTGAAAAAGGTTTTTGATAAGGTATCATGGACAGGAACATATATTTAGTTAGGGGCTATTGATCCTGTCTTTTAGTAAGAGATCATTTATAGTAACAATTTATCCTCAGCACTGCCTAACCTATGGTACTAGACATTCTTATAGTCTTGGATGCTCACTTTTACTGTTTTATTTCCTACCATTGCTTGATGATTTAGCTACAATTTTATTATTATCCTTTAAAAACGTAGACAATGAACTTAAAGGAATATCAAATATCCTGACCACAATAGTTTTTTATCACCTTTTTCCACAATTTCAATCAATTGCTTTTTCTCCAAAACTGTCAAAGACTTGTATATTTTAGAATTAAACGCACTTATCATTAAGGAACTTTACTTTGCAACCGGTAATATAAAACTAAAGTCGGCTTTCGATGAAATAAAATGCAATGCCATACTATTGTAAGATTGTAAGATATTTACATGAATATAAGTAATTGTACCTATGTTAATAATTCGAGTTGTCAAAAATAATAAGATAAATTTATGTGCAACAGTAAGGTAAATTATTAATGATAAGATTATAAGAAATACATTTGTTGAATACACTATAAATTACCAAGTGTACTTAAATGCATTGTTTTTCTTCGAATTACTGTGAGATTTTTAAGGAAATGAGCAATTACTTTGAATTACCAAAAGTTTGAATTATATAGAATCTACTGTATATATAATAAAATAACTTAAATTCCATCAATATATGTTAATAATTGTGCTGTATACATACTCCACCCATATAAAAACAATTAAGAAATATATTTATTGAAATATGTCTATGATGTAAATAGCTTGGGCCCAAAACTTTTACTGTTTTATATATTTTTGTGATATATACACTTTAATCATACCAACTTGTACACAAATAGAGTTAAATATTTAAGAAAAGTAGCATTAAAATAAACTATATCAATATTAAGAAAGGACATTAGCCTTTACACTTCAGCAATTCAAGTCTATCAATAAAAAGTTCATTGAATTAATCGTAAAGTAAAAACTATTGCAATTAAGTAAACATATTGTATTTTAATTGTATTATTAACTAATATATAATATATAATATTTATCTAATAATTAATTTAATTGTTTTATAAAATTATGTATAAGACTGTAGTCTTAGAATTACCATATTTATTAATAAAATACGAATAATAGAAAAATATAAGCAGCTCTTAGTAAGCATATACAAAATAAATAGTATATTATAGAGTAAAATCTCAGACAAAAGTTTTCATTTTTCCCTAACGTTGTTTTTTTCACTGGTAGGAAATCAGTTTTATTTATCTCTGAAATTAATCCATGTACATATCTCATTAACAGATTATAATTATATATGAAAAATGAAAGAATTGAAATTGGATATTTTCAATGTCAAACCAAATCAATATATTAACAAAACCAGTGGCGCACACAGGATTTTTTTTCAGTGGGGGGGGGAAGATAAAAATATTATACATTTTACAATTAACACAATTATGCAAATCCTTAATATATTTTGACTTAAATAATAGCATTGATAATAAAATAGACTTTTCTATAATCAATGATACTAGGTATTCAATACTAGCTCTTTGTATTTCAAACTTGTAAAATTTGTGAATTTTAACCTAGACATCGGAGAAAATTTCGGTGTGATTACAACCCTTTAACCCCCCCCCCCCTGCGTGCGCCATTGAACAAAACTAAACATACATTATCAAACTTATTTTACTGAACACTGTTATCTTGTCCTTCAAGCATACGCCAAATAATGTCACCATATTTATCTTCATTATTTTCATAATCATCACTGTCCATACTAGATATGGATGAATCGGAATCTATAGCTGCACTTAGTTTCGGTAAAAATTGTAAAGTTTCTGGTTCTTCTTTAACACATGTTACTTCATTTTTGCTACTTATTTTCCTCCCTAAAAAACAATATATAATTATAATATAATATAATTATTATCATAGACAATTTACTTTTACTCTTTTTTAATAATTTAAGTTTCTTTCTTGGATGACAGTAAAGTGAAGCTGATTCATTGGAGTTTGTTGTTTTTGACATTACAACCATATCCTCCAGAATGCCTTCATTTTTACCTGGAAACGCTATAGTTTTTTTATTTTTATAACGTAATTGTTTCAAATTCTGTTTCTCATCATCTTTAATTTGATGAGTTTTAGCATTCAAATTTTTTTTAGCATTATTTATCTCTTCTAATGTTTTTGTTAAATTTGCTTCATATTCTGGGACACTATTTTCTCCTAAACACAAATTACTCAATTTATTTAAGTATGTTGATTCATTGCGCATTTGATGTTCCATCATTAGAGATTTGTTAAAAAAGGTATAGCTTGTACGTTCTTTATATTCATTTGTAAAATACTTGTCAGCAGTACGGCCCAAATGTTTACGGATTTCAATCCTTGGATAATTGGCCTGCAAAAGTAATATTATGAAATGAAATAATTAAACACATTGATTGATTTAATGAACAAAATTTTAAATATATATATATATATATATACACTTACTTCCAAACAAGGGTTTATCGCATTTACTGTAATTTTTATTTTTTTTTTAATATCTAAATCATAAAAACAATAAGCTGGATGAGGTAGACCTTCATTAAGATACGTGTCAACCAAATGCTTAGTGTTTAAATAGTCTTCAGGGGTTAATTTAACATTTATCAAGTATGATTTCAAAGGCTGAGTTTTATACAATGTGTACACTAAATAAACAGCACCAATTCGGGCTTCTCGTGAATTAGATCGTAAAAACTTGGATGCCACTGCAAGAGAATCTTCCGCAATTGTTATGTAATGGTGTGGAGATACATACACTTGCGTCTCTTTTTTCTTGGGCTTAGCATAAATTTGGTGAAAGTGGGTAGAACTGAAAATATTTAAAAACGAATTATACGTGAGTACTTTTGATTTGATGAACAAGTCAATTAGATTGAATGAATCAATGAATAAGTTTGAATAGTGGAGTCTAAGTTCTTTAGATACTTTTCCAGCGGTAATTTGGCGATACCGCTTCTTTTTTGGAAAAACACATAGAACTTCTTCTTCATCATCGCTGCTCAAATTTGAATATTCAAAATCGGTCATTTTTAGTCACCTAAGAAATCATAAAACTTGTTAAGTAAATCAAATAATAAAGGATACATGTAATTGTTTTATTCTTATTTACAAGTCACAAGTAAAGTATCTGGATGTGCTGAGTGCCTAGACTAATAGTGTGCTTTATAATGTTTATGTTTAATAATATAAAATTATAATTTATAACAAACAACCTAAGTAACTTCATAATAATATCTATATCCACATCAAATTTATTTATATTATTCTTAAATATTTATTAATGAACAAATATTATTTGTTTTAACTAATTCCTGTATAATTTAATTTATTAATCGATTGTATACAACAAGGAAGACCAACTTGCAGCTCACGTCATAGTTTTATTAACAAAAACCAAAATTTATTTATGGTTATTATGATTTTTTTTTTTTTTGACATACATTATTAAAAAACATATTTTATTGTAAAGAATACAGATAAATAAACAAAAAAAATTAAATTATAATATATAAGAAATTTAAGTTAAATTTATTTACGTAGTATTTTTTCACGAGTTTCTTAAAATTTGATTATAAATTATAAAAATTATAAAATATATTTATAAATATTTTGACTTTTAATATCAATGTATTTATTCATATGGCTCGTGAAAATATTTATGTTGACCACCTCTAGTATACAAAATATAACAGCCCTAAAAATCCTATTTAGTGATATGGTTGGTGGTTAGCTGTGTCACCCAATTATATAAACTCAATTAGGTGGTGGCTAAGGAGTGTTTGCTCCTCTGAATATTTATCTATCCTTTACATAATTGGTACAAATAAAAATGAAAAAGTAAGTCATTTACTGGTGAAACCAAAAAAAAAAAAAAATCTAGTTATGCTTATGGTTTCGCTGAGAACATTTTTAATTGTAAGTCAATGACAATTACTGAAGAAACATGGCATATCAAAATTCTACGTTTTATTTGGAGGTTAGTTAAAAAATCTAGCTGGTTTAATCTGTATGGATGCAATAAAATAATTATATATCTTCTATAAAAATAATTGGCTTTAAACAAAATACTGAAACTGATGGCACCACTTAGTCTTATTAAGACTAGTAGTAGATTTGTTAAACATTAAGGGCCATTTTATTAATTGTTAAGACAATTTAAACTCGGTTAAAAGTTGAACTTCAGTTAAACTAAAAACATGATGTTTTTATCAAATGGTTAAATTTTAACTGAACCTTAACTACAGATAAAGTTAACAGAGATATTTTGGTCAGTTAAAATGTTTAGTTTAAGTTAGTTTAATAACTATTTAATTGGTAAATTAACTTAGTTTAAATTCATATTATCATAGATAATACCACATTTTTGTTCAAAACCAAACACCAAACAATGTTACAATTGAACTTCATTTCAAGAAAGGATAATTGACCTACCGCTTCCAGAGGAGTCCTCTTTCTCTCACAAATGGTTTGACTTTCACATCTCACAATTTAACTTTTAACAACTTCTTTAAATTTTCATATTTTAGTTTCAAACACTTTTCACTGCGATAACCATTAAGACTCTCGCTATTGAATATTTTGAATAAATGTTGCCAAGCTTTATTTATTATATTTGTTGTTATAGCATGGTTTTTTTTTCAATAATTTTTATTTTTGGATTACCACTAAATCAACAATTCCAGTTCACTGTTGATAAAATTTATTGAGCATTCTCTCTTAATTTTTAGATTCATAATAAAATTTAAATAACGATAACAAAACAAAAAAACTAAAGCACCAAAAGCACGGACTTACATATTATCTTGCTCAATGAAATGTGTATAAGTAATAAATCAATAACTATAATATGGATAAAAAAAAACCGGGATAATATTGATAACAATTTACTAATATGAAAGTTACAACACGTTTATAAAGTGCTGTAGCTTACTTAATTAATAGTAAATAAATCTACAGTTTACTTAAATTTTGATTAAATTTGATGAATAAAATGGCGTTAAGTATTATACCTTAAATGTTGGTTTTGTCAATGCTACAAATTGTGGAAGAAAACCCCGAACTAACAGAGAAAGGTAAAAAAAAAACCAATTGGACGTTGACATGCAGCCAATACGGTCTAAAAAAACTAAAAATAATACCAGCATAATTACGTTTAAAATTATTCAGATGCATTACTCACGATAGTTTGCGAATCCACGCGATAGACGCAATTCGTTCTTCTCAAGGTGGTCTTTTCTAGAGCACAACCACAGAGCAAGTTAAACTTGTATACAACAGTTCTTAAGAAATTCAATAATTAACAGCAATTAATAAAGAACCAATCATCCATTTCATTGATTTTTACTACGTCATCCTACGAGCTTACAAGTTTATGACAGTATACTAACTACATAATATACGATCTTAAATCGTGCTACGGGTATATCAACAGATATTTTAGTGTTATCACAAAATAACATTGTTAGTAATTGATAAGAAAAACGGTCGCAGCTATGGACCACGGTCTTAGAAGATATATAGAATATGGAATATATAATTAGTATCATAGGCGAAACTACAGGTCAGGCCAGTCAGGCCATGGCCTGACCTAATACTAACGAAAAATATGTATGTATTATATATTTTAATAATTATTTAGGCGTTATAAATAATATATTTATACATGTAAACGTATACATTTGTACGTTTCATATAATATATTAAAATATAGTATATAGGTAGGTACAATTGGTATAAGGTTTATAATAGAACATAATAATATGTATTCAAATAATCGGTTTCATTAGTTATTGTTTAAGTTAGACATTTAACGTTTTCTTTTATGATTATATTATAGGAAATAATAGTTAATTTTACGTAATAATACTTTTTATATTTTTAATTTGGCCTGAACTAATTAAAGTGTCTAGTTTCGCCTATGATTAGTATACCTATCAAAGGTGGATCCAGAAATTTATCAAGGGAGGAGGTAATTAAAATTTATCTATCAGATACTATTCATACTCAATAACATACTTTTTAATATTATTAATTTGAATTTATTTTTTAAAACTGGTATTAGTGACAACAATTATATACTTACAATTATATAAACAACACAAATTTTATAGATATGGTACACTAAAATGATTTTTTCATCAGTCAGCTGTATTGTTTTTTCATACTGACAGTACATCAGTACTTACCTCACACGATCAATAATACTGTAAGTATTACTGATCGTGAAGGCCCGCTGAACGCTGAATATAACTAGAAATTTCTAAAATTCTCGAATTTTCTAGGATAATAAGCTCGAGGGGGGGTATTTACCCTATTACCCCCTCTCACTCCCTTTGGATTTGCCACTGATACCTATCTCCTAAGATCGTGTTAAGAATGATGAAGCTTAGCGAATGTTCTTATCATACGTCCGCCACGTTTTCGGTTGGCAAAAAAATATCAAATATTTGTTGAGTAATATTCTCAAGGGTGTTCCTATAGGGTATACTACATATACGCCGTATACTCTCAAAATTTTTTTTCAATATTATGGGTATACTGTGTATACTCTCAAACACAATCGATATTATATCGATCCATATTTTATGATTTATATATATGATAGATACTTCATAGTAATAATGGTACGTTTTTTCCTTTAGATTATTTTTACGATGTATTTATTGTTATATGAATGGCTGGGCGATAACACACCAGAATGGTGATTGCGGGGCTATAACAAACCAGTTCCTTAAATTTATAATTGGAATAAAAACACTATAGTCTATAGTCATAGCTCATAATCGTTAGATATTCCGATACCAGAAAATGTCGTATCGCGTACGGTGAAAGAAGTGGTGTACACAATTAATCACTAATCAGTTTATCCGTTACCAGTTTACTACCAACACGTAAAATTTACAATACCTTGCACTTTTGTGCGACCTACTGTTTAAAGTTTAACTTAAACGTAAATAACTAAGTTATAAATTGTAATATTAATTATAATTTACTAAAGTAATATTTGTATTTGAGAAGTTTTATTAAACTCAACATTTAGTTTAATAAATTGTCCTATACTATATAACGACGTATAACTATATAGAAATAGTACTGACTTTAAAGTGTTCTTTTTATTAAAATATGACTTCAAATTCTAAACGCGCAGGCGGCACAATTGATAAGAGTCAGAGCAGAATTCGGTTTTGGAATAGTATTTTGACTCTATTGTTGCCTCCATATGAACAGGTTAGCTCTGATTGTAGATGAGGTATCATCATGGAGATCTTGGACATATATTTTAGCAGTTTTTATAATATTTTTATCGTCATACATATTAATATTGGCCGGAATAAATCCTTCAAGTGGCATAACATCAATAAGCCTTTGATTAAAACGAGCATCCATTGATTCTATTAAATAGTCAAGATACATTATACATATAAACACGGCCCATGGGGGCTACAGCCCCCTTAGCCCCCCCCCTTGGCTACGCTACTGGGCCCCTCACATGAAGCCGCAGACTATGCAGCGGCATACCCTGCATACCCCGTGAGCACGCCTATGGCTATAATATTACCTTGAAAATCGCTAAATAAGTTCTAATAGAATGCAATAAAAACAACGAAATATGCAACAAAAAAAAAAAGGAAATTTATTATTTAATAATTTTATACGAGCAAACGAGACGAATGTGGACTGTATAAAGCGAATTATACACTCGTTCGTTGATAATCGGCTATTAGTAGATTTAATAGAAATCGACAAAAAAAAAACAACAAAATCAGCAGATAACAAAATTTGGAACCAAATAACTAAAACGAAATAATCGTAATATTATATTATACCTACCCATATATTATCGTTGTAATTGTATAGCGTTGTATCAACAAAATCGGTATATTTACTTTATCTATACATTTATAATTTACTTGAAAATACGATTGACAAAAATCAAAAAACACGTTTACTAAAATACAATTTCATAAAATATGCCCGATTTTGATAAAAACACAGGTAAAATGCAAAAAAGTCTCAACAAATCCAAAAAAAGCACTAAAAACTAAAAAATGCAAAATATGCAAAAAAAAAAGCAAAATAAAACTTTTTATTTGAGTTCTCTGTATTATGAAACACATTTTTAGCTTATTCTGCTATTTTTTAAACATCTCATAAGAAATATGCAAATGCTATAAAATCCCAACCTTGATAATAACTAATATATACGAGTATTAATATACATAGAATATGAACGTGTTCTTATGTATTTTTTAGGAGATGGTGACAGTAGCGTCACTAAACGATTGAATGACAAAATGCCTTATGGGCCGAACTTTCATATTTGAAAAGTTAAGTGTCGTAATCATCTCTTGAGGAACTATGCCACAAAAGTTACTGTGTTGGCCAAGAACACAAAATATCCTCTTCGAATTCGAAAATTTATTTTAGCAAACATCACGAGATTCCGCAACGGTACTGGGCGTGGCTAAATGCACGCATGCGCCGTTTGAAAATACCTAACAGCGCAATCTATCGAGTGTTATACGGTTTCATTTGTCCGGGCAGTGTCCTCTTAATACATGTGACATATAAATCCCACGAATATCAAATGTAAATGATAAATAAAAAAAATAAAAAAATAAATATAAATTATTTACATAAAATAAATATATATATATTATTTACATTTTTTCATTTTTATTTACATTATAAGTATAATGTAATATTCACATGAGCTCTAGTTTTATGTGCCAGATCACACTATGGCAATAGTGTGGGCCGATAAAATACGCAATCGATCGGTAAGCAACCGCAACATATATATTTAAAATTGAACCGCGTCTAGACTAGACCGATTCTCCGAACTAGGATTATTCAATTATTTTAATACTGTTAAAAATATTCGATTAACTCGATTAATCGCACAGCCCTACTCTGAACCGTCCGAAATCGGTCTGAAATAGACCACGCTTTTGCGGTTTCGTTGCGCCGACGCGTTTCGGTCGTTCTCAAAATTACATTCAGTAGTTATACGGGATCATCTACACTCTTAGGCGCAACTAAAGTGGGGCTTGGGTGGGCTTAGCCCACCCAGTTTTGTCCGTAGCCTATTCAGTTTCACTACAAAATAAAACATCAACTCTTGGTTTTTCTAAAAACGTAATTTTTGGTGTAATTAATACATTTGAAACTCTTAGATGAATTTAAGAAAATATGGGAATAAATAAAAATATTATGCTGAAGAAAATGACATGTGGTTTTAACTCCATTAACTGGTGTATATATTTTATGATTTTGATAATTTGTTTTACGTGTTTTAACCTAAATAATACATACAAAATATAGGATCAGAGCATCACAGAAGAGAATAAACTAGCCTTCATAACTATGTATTAACAGCTACCACGGTGGCAGAAAATGATTTACATTCGTCATTAGCAAATTATGTAGAAAGTTATTGGAAAACTTTTACATATTTTTTTACTATGGACAGTGTTATTTTCAATCTTAAATATAGGTTTTCTGATTAAAGCTTGGCTATGGCCAGTTCGGTTGTAGTTAATTTTGTAAATTACAACCGATTCAATGAAGTTTATTGATCATTATAAGGTAATTTGGTAATACCATGTATATAAATACATTTTAATTGTATAAGAGATTAATGATAACTAATTAATTAATTATAATAATTATAATAATAGAAATTACTTCATATTTCAAAGAGTAGCTTAGAAGCAGAAATTAAAATGGCATTTAACCTTAAAATAGTAAAAAAAAAAAATTTCAATATAAATGATGTTAAAGAAGTCGAAAAACTAATATTTCCAAACTTTTCTAAATTTTTACAAGTGGCTTTATCTATTCTCATAAGTTCAGACACCTGTGAAAGGTCGTTCTCTTCAATGAGATGAATAAAACATTGGCTTAGATCTTCCATGACCCATGATCGATTTACAAATTTATCTATTTTAAATATAAAGAGAGATGTAACCAACAAATTAGACGAAAATGAAATTGTAAATAAATTTGTTGAAAAAAATAAAAAAATTTGTTAATTTAATTAGGCTTTATAATAAAAATTTAATAGCTATGAACTGTATATTTCATTGATTATATATGTATATCCTTATTATTCGTGTTTATTTAGGTAGCTAGTCTGTAAGTAATAAGTAAATAGGTAAGTGACAACATTTTATTTCGAAATAAACTATTAACAACTATGGGTAAGGTCGTAAGGACTTCTAATTTATATAAATATAAATGTAAATGTTGATAATCAATATTGGGGGTGTGGGGACGGGTCGCTGGTATCATTAAAATTCAGCCCACCCAGAAATTGAACTCTAGTTGCGCCTATGTCTACACTATATATGTTTTTCGGTTTCCGTTGATTGTTAAAATATCGGTAGTTGTTATTGTAATCGTAATCCCCGGGATTCTTCATTTCGTTCGTATACGTTCACTAGTTTTCGGCAACCGATAAAACGCATAGTGTGATCCGGCACTGAAAGGAAAGATAAAAACAATTGGATATCCGGTGTATTCGTACACTTAATCAGTTATATCAGTTATAAAAGTGTTCAAGGAAATGCCGTAGAGGAAGCTCAAGTATTTACCCCAATGGTAATACAAGTGCCTCCGCAAACATAATTTTTTTATCAATGACATTGTCTGAGCGTAATTTTACAGTAGCAGCTCTATAAATTCGTATTTTCATTCCTTAACGGAGTTTAGAAAAATAACATTTGAAATATTTTTTTATTTCTATAAAGTAGTAAAACATTGCTACTTTATGAATATTTTATAGGAATGCATTGAAAATCCAATAATTGGTTCCACAGTTAAACGTAATGTAATTTTTTTCAAGAAGAACCACGTTTACAGTTACGCATAATGGATATTATAATAAATTAGAATAAAATAATAAAACAATGCGCGTAGCTTGGAGTAATAAAATGTATGTATTAAACGACCGGTTTCGAATTAAAAATTCATCATGAAGTATATACAAAGTCAATAACATTGCGATTGAATATGAAACAATAAAGAAAGGAATATATTTAAATATGTGATCATTTTATATAGAGATAATTAATGAAATTATTTAATTCATTTTTTATAAACAATTAAATAATTAAAAAATAAACATAAATATTTATTAATTTAGCTTTTTTATCCAATTTATATAATAATAATCAATAAAAATGCTTTTATATGTAGTGATTAAAAGCTGAAATCGGTGAGACTCAGGAATATAAAAGTTTTTTAAACAAATATTTTGACTATTCTGGCACAAATAATTGTATCGCATGTCATTAAGGTGAATAGGTATGGTCTTTAAAATAAATGTAACTAACTGGCCACTTAGTTTTCTCTTAGATACCTATTCTCCTTTATTTCTGTACTTCACGGTTTAGATAAATATCCTAGCAATATGTTTTGATTGATTTAGTTTCTCGTTAATTTATATTTATTTGATCATTAATCTTTTTGTCCACATTTGTAAGTTGATATTATTTTCCATTATTAATTTAAGTGGATCAATTAAAGCAAAATGGATTACAATGTAAGTATTAATTATTATATTTTATTATACAGGTTACAAAATAAGGTACTGATTATATTTAAATAAGGAATGCAATTATTCGACAAAGCGACTATCGGCAAAGCTTTAATAAAAATAATTGTTGTTGACTATCAGCCTTTATCAATTGTAGAAAACGTTGGTATTATAGAGTATACCAAGATTTTACAGCCATTGTATTCCCTTCCAAGTAGGAAATTACTTACGATTAAATTATTACCTGATGAATATAATATCATAGTCTCTAAACTAAAAATTATGTTTAAATCCATTGATTACGTGTAAATTACAATTGACATGTGGACGTCTGATTCAAATAAGGCTTATATAACTGTAACGTGTCATTTTATATTCGAAGACGACTTATATTCAACAGTTCTTGCCACTAGAGAAGTACATGTAACACATACCGGAGAAAATATTGCTGCTGTGCTATCAAATATTTTTAATGAGTGGTATATAACTTCTAAAATTGTAACAATAGTATCGGATAACGGATCAAACATTAAAAACGCAATTAATCAGCATCTTCTCAAGTACCACTATCTTTGCGTAGCATACATATTAAATTTAAGCGTGAAAGAAGCTATTTCAACTAATACTGAACTGCATAATGTATTAAAAACGTGTAAAATTATCGTAAGACATTTAAAACATAGCACTTCCGCTAATGAAAAATTAAAGAGTTATCGAAATAAAATGGGCCTACCAGAAATTAAAGTTAAGCAAGACATATCTACGATATGGTTACAGTCCCTGTTTTTGTTCTAAGCTTGTTTTTGTTGACTTAAGTGATTCTGAATTTATATTAGAGCTTTTTAATTTATATGAACTTAAGAGATACTGAAACATTAGTTATTTCTTTACATTGTTGGTAATATTACTCCTTCGTATAAATATATTTGTAAGTTATTCCATATTTCATCCTTTCATTTATATTTATTTTTTTATTGTGTATTGAAATACTATTTCACTTTGTAATAGCATAACAATTTAATAACACATGGTCTACAAATTTCCTATATTATATGAAAATAGTTGTTGGTTGTGATAAAGCCTTTAGTATTTTTATTTGTTAGTCATATTGTAACTTATATCTTATACTTATTTTTTTGTATTCTATTCGATTACTCATATTTTTATTTTATAATAATTTAATACAATTTATTATTTAGAGTATTGATGAAGATGATATAGAAAACCTACGTTTGGCTGCTCTTATGTCAATTAAGAGAAAATCTAATGTTCCAAGTATTACATTAAGCAGTACATCTGGAGAAATTTGTGAAAGAAAATTCAGCACTACTTCATCGGGGCCGGCTGCTTTCCTTGGTTTGGCACTCTTTAATATATTTGTTACTTCTTCTTTCATTATATCGTATCTGTCATCTATTTTGATGCTACTTTCTTATACGAATATTGTAATTTGAATAAAAGTTAAAAACTATTATATAGGTAATATAATAAATTGTACATGCTCTCTCTTATAGATGTAATTCTGCATGTAAGCAATATTCATATATTTTATTGAATATTTATCAATAGGATAATACTTATCTATGTTCAGATGATGGCGATGTCTTATCCCTAGGGGATGACGATGAAGATCTGGACGAACTAAACAAATTAATGGATATTATGAATGCTGAAGTTAATGAAGAAGATGTTGAAACATCAAAAAAAGTTAAGAAAAGTAAAAAACAAAATAATAAAAATACGAATGAAAAAAGTACGAAGCCGAAAATAAAAAATAAATCAAATATGAAAGTTAATGAACCAAATGGTATAAATCAACCAATGGTTATTAAAATGTTAACACCTCTAACTAATCCACCCGAAGAAAAATTAGAATCAATTAAAAATTTAGAGGAAATAAGAAACTCTCTAGCACAATGCATTATATTAAATTCTCCTGTTCCCTTAAAATCACCATCACCACGTAAAACAAAGAAGTCAATAACTCCTTACAGTAAACTTCGAAAAAGATCACCATCAAGATCTTCCAGAAGATTATCACCTTTAAAAGAAAAAAATCATTCTCCGAGGGGATATTCTCCTTTAAAGTCGCGATATCCCTATCGTTCACGATCCCCAAGGAGAAGTCACAGGTCTTTATTACGAGATATTTCGCTAACAAGAAGACGACTGTCTCCATTAAGGAGAAGAAGTAGATCTCCACTTAAGATCAAATCGAGATCATCTATAATTAGAACTGATGTTAGAAGAAGATCACCTATTCCAGTAAAGAAAGAAATTAGATCAAGACCTGTATCTCATAATGTTCGCCGTAAAGATAATAAAATCTTAGGTAATGAATATTTGAAGAGAAAGGAAAAAATCAAACCTGCGGATAAACAAATAGATTCTAGGTCAATAAATCCTGGACATGATGATATTAATAATTTGCTCATTGTTCAAGGTTTGTAAACATATTTTTGTAAATATTGTAACGATCAAAATAGATTAGTGTCCATGTTTGGTTTTCCTCAATAAATAATAACCATATTAAATAAATGCGCGACTACTTCATCACCTATAACATCGATGGACGAAAACACATTTGGAATTCCCTCCAACCTCTGTAATTGCACACCTCTCTATCCGTTTGTGTGTGGTATGTTAGTGGGTGGGTCATGTAATAATTGCATGATAACGAGTATCGGCCAATTATTATAATTAAATAATAATATTATTATTATTATTTCAATGAGCCAGTTTTCGTATATTTCTGAAAAGTATTATACTGGCTCACTTTTTGTGTAGCTGTTCCGTCGTCCACAACATGCACGAGTAGACCGGACCATGCTGGTGCGTCTTGGAACGACGACCAATTGTCCGATTGGTCGGTAATGTATTATAATTAAAAATCAAAACTATCTTCTTCTTATTATTATTATACCTTGGCCGGTATTCGTCAGTGTTATTTTATACACCAGTTCTAATTTTATAAATCCACGTATGGAAAATTCTCTCTGTTTTTTTTAATTCATACTATGAAAAGGTGGAGGTTTTACGCCCGTCCGAGCTTTCCTCCACCATGTAAAAGTTTTATTATAATATATTTATATTTCTCTATAATATCTTTCTCTTCATTAATCATTTTCCTTTATTTATTAATATAATCTAAGTGACCATTATAGTAAATCCATTTACACCGACCCCAAAAAGGGTCTCGGTATTTGGTTGGCGACCCATGTATCTTTAAAGGTAATCGTCAACGGGCGCTAGACAGAACTTACTGCACTGAGACGTCGCAATATTAACTATGTATAATATTTATATTATTATTTTTGGTAATATTGTATTCATTTTTTATTTTTAGAGGATAGATTTAACTATCACATTGGCGAAAAAAATAAAACAACGGTTGTAGAATCTGAAACTTTAGAAATATCTAGTGATGATAATAAAGAATTTATTGAAAAAAAAGATGAAGGAATTCAAGAAAAGCAGCAAATATATGATAAAAAAGTAACTATACAACATGATGATCTTGATCTAAGAACAGAGTTAAAAAGAAGAAGAGCCCTTCATTTAAAAACGGTAAAATTCAGACTATATTTGATATATTTGATAAATTAATATTTCAAAAACAATTAATTTTCTCATTAAAATTTTAGATTCAATTAAAAGTTATGAAAAAACCCAAATCGTTTAATCCTGCCCGGTTATTACAGTCTGCAATTAGTGATATTGTAAGATCAAGGTAATATTTACAAACTTAAGTTACAATAATTGTAATTAAAAATAAATTAATTCTTTACATTTAATCATTTTATATTTAGTGTAATTTTTAAAAAATGTTAAAAGTGAGTTTAAAAATACTAATTTTTAATTTAATATTTATTGAAATAATTTTATAAATTAAAATGTAATGCATGGACACTTTTTTGACTGAGTGTATGTATTATATATTTATATAATATTAATATATTGTAGAAGTATATATTGCATTAATAATTACTGACCACAATATATAGTTAGTGTCAACAATTATAATTTAACGTTCCAAATTAGTTGTGTATATATACTCGTATGGATACATTAGTGATGGGCATATTCGGATTCAAGAAATCCGAATTATTTGGATTTGTCAAATCTGGATTTAAGAAATTCGAATTTCATGGATTATCCGAACTATACGGATTATTCAATTTAATTTTGCTGTTCAATTACTCATTTTTATATTTACATAAATTTAACTTATCTTCAGAAAATTTTATTCAATAACCATTTTAAGGTTATGCAGTTAAGATAAGTTAATTGGGTATTCAGTCATGATATCACTGTAAGTCATAGAGGTATGAAGTAAACTCGACAATTTAGTAAATTATAATTTTGGTAACTAATAATACATTATAAAAACTGTTAAAATAATGATAAGTAAATTTAAATTCATAAAATATAATATTAATTTTATGTTACAATAAAGTTAAATAATTTATTTTATTAGAAATTAAAAATAATTATAAGTTATATAAAAAGCAAATTCATAAATCCGAATAATCCGGATACTTCGGCAAATCCTGATAAGAATTTGATTCAAATCCGGATTTAAATATCCGGGTATCCGGATAATTCAGGTATTCGGATTTCATGCCCATCCCTAGTATACATACAAATAAATAACTCCCATAGGAAAAAAGCCAACCTTCCAGAACATATTCACTCATCACTCAACAACTGTCAAGAATCCTCAAATTCCCTCATCGAATTCATCAACTCCGCAAAATTATTAACCTATATTTAAACCAAAACAATGTATATATAATTTAACCTATAATGTAACTTTACAAATTACATACCTATGTAACAAAAATTCTTCTTGTAATTCCCAATGGCCTATGTTGCCGAGTGTTATTCAAATAAAAAAAAATAAAATATATACTATAAAATTATTGTACAACATATTTTTAAACATATGGTTAATTTTACTAATTTGTCAAGTTTTTATAGTTAAACTAATACGTAATTAATGTTTTTCAGCAGTTCAAATGAAGTAAAGATAAAAAAAACATTTAAAATTCCAGAAATAAATACTAAAACCGAAGGTATACATAAATGTTTTTATTGATTTATAAAATACATAATGTATATAATGTATTTTAATCTGCATAAGAATTATTATTTATTAATATTTGATGCAGGCTAATTTTTTAAATTGAACCATAATGTTCATATTTTGTGAAATATAGCATGGTTAAATAGAAAAAATTTAACTTTGTGTGTATATATAAGTATTATTGTAAACTTATGTATCTTATATTTATGTAATTTTAAATAAATTTAATTTAATACTACAATAAAAAACATTTTTATGAAATTTAGATGACCGAAGAGTTATTGTGATGAATAGAGATTCTAAGACTAGAAGTGACTTAAGCATTTTACATCCAGAAGGTAAATTTTTTTCTTATATACAGTTTGTAAAGTGAAATTATTTATTCTAATAGTCTTTCATTTTTAAATTCTTAATGTTTTCCAATAATTTTTTTGATACTTTCTCAATTTATTTAATATATTAATTTAGAGCAGGTTCAACTATCGTAATAGTATTAACATAATTTGAAAAAAAATAGTTTATAATATGTTTCTTTTTATTTATGTTTATTTAGGTCGAGAAGCTTATGACAGTGAAGGAGAATCTTATACAAATGTCAAAATACAAAAAGCCAAATTAAATAAAGTTCCTATACATTTGAGAACAGTTAATAGTGGTAACACAATTCAAAAAGAATTTAAGAAGATCAAAAAACCTATCTTATGGCCGTGAATACTTATTTATGATAACAAGATATCTATATAAAAAATGTGTATATTTTAAGTAATTTAATATAAATTATAAAATTGACTGACTTATGTTAAATTAGTCCACCTCACCGTCCCTATTGCCGTCCTTTTATACGAACATCTAATGAAGTATGATCAGTTAATTTTTCGAATACTGATGGTTATTTTTAATGATACAAATTTATCATATCCATAAAACTAATGTTTCCATTTGGATTGAGAATGCGAGTATAATAAAATAAAATAACAACTACTCGTATACATTTTTCTATATTAGAAATGAATATAACAGTTTGTAACATAATTATTAATGATTTTTCGACAAATATTTATAGTCTAATATAAAAAAAATCAAAATTTTTGTTTATATTGAACTGTTTTTGATATATTTTCCCAAAAATTCACACTAGAACTTTTTATTAATCCGTCAACCATACAGGTATCATCACCATCCAATGATAAATATTTAGGTTTGTCCAAACTTGTTTGGATCCACTCAAAACCTAAATCCAATGAATTCGGATTTCTAAAAATCAGTAAAAATAAATAATTTTTAATAATATATTAATTGATTCACACATAAAAAAAACAAACAATTTAAAATCTAAAAATAATCCTTAAAATTTTTCACTCATTAACATACCCGGTTTTTGCAAAGTTAGCCCATAGTTTACTAAGCATTCTACACATCCTGAGCTCTGGCGAATTAGTGTTCGGTGTATATCCAATAATTTGTCCAAAAAACAAATAGTTTAATTCATCTGCATGACACGCACCTATGAATTATTGAATTAAATTTATGTTTATAGGATATTAACATAATATAGAACATAACTAAATTCATTAAATGATTACTAAAAATTAATCTGGTGAAATCTCTCGCACATTTATAGTTAAAGAACTCCGTAAAGATAAAATATATTAGTAACCATTTTAATATTCTTATAAATAATTCAAATATTTTATTGTGAATTATCTACTCTAATAATTCAGTTTATACAAATAGGTTATTAACACAATAATAAATAAGGTGTTACCTACCTTTTAATTGCTTTAAATTAGGTTTTAAATCGGAGAGAATTTTTTTACACATATTAATATTTCCATCAAATTTAAATTCATAATTATAAACTGGTGTGCCATGGTAAAGAAGATGGTTAAATCCATGATAAAAGTCTTTTGAAAAAAAACCATCACTATACAACTAGTCAATAAATAAATATAACTATAATTATTCGTTAACAGAAAATAATACATAAGTAATTAATTCATAATATCTAAATAGAAACTAAACGTTATAATTTATTTAATTTTACATACATGACAAACATTTTCCAGTTTAGTTGTTCCATATTCCGGATTACCTTCGTCGAAATAAAAACTCTTCACTTTATTAATAATTTCTTCATCATATTTATCCTCAAATAAATTTCTTATTTCTTCAGTAGTACTAATAAGTTTCTTCGTTGATTTTTCTTTAAGTAAATGCATAAAAATTTATTTCGTTCTGTGTAAAATTTAAAAATATTAATAATTCACCTGCAAATGCAATCATTCCTTCTAAATTGTTGATTCCAATAATGATAGGTACTGGTGATACAGATTTGGTTAAAATATCAGGATGATCAGGTAAAAATCTGTCACTAACTGTTTTACTTTCAATGGATGGAACAAATTCATAATTTCGAAAATCGGTTACGCCCTTTAAAATAAAAAATAAATATTCATTCTAACTTCTAGTCAACAAAAATAATTAAATAAATGTACCCAGTTAAAACATCATAATAAAAAACATTTTCTAAGAAAAAACACTCAATGATATGAGTAGGTAATGAAAAATCAAAATAACTTATATACTTAACACAGTGGTATAGTTAAGCGTAGATTACATTGGGCAAATTTACTCGCTAATTACTGACGAATCAACTCACTGCTATTAGAATCGCTCAATGTAATTGGCCTAGTTGCTTAGTCGCCGCGTGTTGCATACTCGCTGCTCGACCGCAATTAAAGTTGACAACCTGTCAACTTTTGCTACTACTCGCTGGCTATTTTACTCTCTAACGAGTGAAATCGCTTCGTGTAATCGACATTGCTAACAAAATCGCTATGTGCTCTATACTTGTTACTAGTAGACAGTAATGGTTGCAACTTGCAAGATGTAAGTGACTGTAGTTAACGCGGATGTTGTTGTTATATCTCTTTTATTACGTCAGGAGTTGAAAAAAAGGAAAACTAGAAATAAGAGAAGAATTTGGATCAGAGATTGGATTGCTAGACGAGAAAATTATAGTGCATCCAGTACATTAATAAAATAATTAAAAAACGAAGATACGGCAGCCAACCGAAATCTTCTAAGAATGGACGTGGTCCAGTTCGATAATTTTTTACAAATGGTTTATGGATTAATAAAAAAAGACACTCAAATGAGAATGGCTATTCCACCAAAAACTAAACCAAATCATTTAAATTAATATATCAGTATTAATATATTGAATTGTTAGCAACTTGTGACATGCGCAAATACCTGCGACTACGTTACTAGCGATTATAGCTGTAATGTAATCAGGACAACACGCTTAGTCGCGCGCGATTTTGTTCGCAGATAAGTAGCGAGTAAATTCATCCAATGTAATCTACGCTTTAGGTATTTATTTTGGGGAGTATTAAAACTGTTTAATAAAAATCTATTAACTTAATATCGTTTCTAAATAAACTTCATAGTTGAATTCTATAAAAAATACAAGAGCCCAACCAAAAAATCAAATATTCAAACGATTCAAGCATTCTAATCAATTTGATTGCGTATCATTGCTAAAACTTCCTGGTACGTAATGAACAAATTTCTCCATGATGACCTCCAAATCAAAATCGTTCACGACACAGCCATCAATTTTTACAAGAGGTTAGGGAATCTCCGTATGAATTAAACCACCTCATCTCATAATTAGCCTCAAAGACAACCCCACAAGACGTCTCAAACGCAAATGATGTAGAAAGATCTTCTCAACCTATAACATTTATTTTACTATTCATACTTTGTAAAAATATCATTGTAAAAGATGACTCGACTACAAGTCCACCTTCAAGTTATTTAAAGCAGTTTTTATTAATTAGTTACCACATCACATTTGCTTATTGTATATAATGTACACATTGTAAATTTTCAATGAACGCCATTAAAAAAAAAAAAAATTTTATTATAATTGAAATTAAATTTATCTTATTATAAACATTGTATAAAGAAATATTTAGGGTTTTGTACGACTAAATCTAATTTCCTAGGTTTTTTAAAAATATATGCACGAAAAAAGATGATATTGTTAAGTAAAATGTCAGTTTAAAACATAAAATTTAATACAGTGAAACTTCACTTAACGGATAAAATTACCATGTCCCGGCAAAAATATAGGCATTTAAATGTATTTCGACCTGTCTATAACGGAAGCGGACACTAATACGAGGCATGTCCAGAAAGTAAGTGTACTCAATTTTTGTAGGCTTTAAAAAAATTTATAAAAAAAAAAAAATAACGTGGTTACATTAATATATTTGTGTGCTATTTTTCTACATAGTCACCATTTCTTTCAATGCAGGTTGTGAGACGGTAGATTAATTTTTTTATGCCTGCCTCGTAGAACTCTGCCGCCACCTCCTTTGTCCACATGTCGACCATCTCCTTCACTTCCTCATCAGTTGAAAATTTTTTTCCACCCATGTGTTTCTTTAGGGAAGTGAACAAATGGTAATCTGAAGGCACCAGGTCGGGGGAATACGGGGGGTGATTCAAAACATCCCATCCAAATGAGTCCAACAATTGCTTCGTGACATTGGCCGTGTGGGGTCTAGCGTTGTCGTGCAGTAGGCAGACTCCGCTCGTTAACAGACCCCTCCTTTTATTTTGAATAGCTCTCCTCAATTTTTTTAGGGTCTCACAATACCTTGCTGCGTTTATGGTCTCCCCCTGAGGTAAATATTCAATCAAAATTATGCCTTTGTGGTCCCAAAACACTGATGCCATGATTTTTTTGGCTGAAATGGTGGTTTTGAACTTTTTGGTTGAGGGTGAAGTGGTGTGACGCCACTGTTCGGACTGTCTCTTGGTTTCAGGTGTATAGTGTGCAATCCAAGTTTCATCTCCAGTAACAATGGACTTGAGAAAATTATCACCGTCCAGTTCATAGCGTTCCAAAAACTCTCTGGAGGCTTGCACTCGATTCAACATGTGTTGTTCAGTAAGCTGTTTTGGGACCCATCTTGCGCACAGTTTATGAAATCCAAGTGTTTCTGTGATTGTTTCGTGGAGCAGAGACCTTGACAATTGTGGAAACATTGCAGAAAGTTCATCTAGAGTCAATCTGCGATCGTCACGGACCGCATACTCGACTTTTTTCACAATGTCGTCAGTCAAAATCGACGGTCTCCCGCTCCTCAGATTGTCATGTACATTCGTACGGCCGTTTTTAAACTCCCTACACCACTTGTATACACTGGTATGATTCATATTGCCTTCACCATAAACGGTTCGTACCTCATTAAAAATTTCATGTGGAGATTTTTCCTTCGCAACAAGATAACGGATAACGGCGCGGATTTCGCACTTGGCGGCAGACTCGATCGACATGTTTAACAAGAAAATTCGTGCGACCACAGTTTTCAACGTACTGAACTCGTTCTGGTCTTGTTTTAAAGCTTAGAAGTAAATCTTTACGGCAGTGTAGCCAACATAGTAAAAAAATATTCCCTGTGGCCTTGAGAGCCTTAGTACACTTACTTTCTGGACACGCCTCGTATTTACCCCTACGATTTCATAACAGAAAAATACTACGAAACAACGTCGATAAGGAACGCAATTGAGTAATTCAGTGAAAACACGGAAAGAAACCTATTGAATTTATGAAGTTTAAATAAAAGATTAATACAAATTAACAGAAATAAATCCAGATATAAATTGCAATACGTATAAATGATAACCATAAATACCTAACGTTTGTATTCAGTTTCTATCGGTTTGCAGTCAGAGTAAAACTACATTTTTAACAAAAGATGGACATTATTTGTTTTAAAGACTTGAGCGGAGGTTGGTATATTCGTAAACTTGCTAACAAATTTGACATCGGTATAACGCAAGTGGCCAAAGTTTTGATAAAAAAATATAACCAAAATAACCATGGTAATTATAATATTAAACTAAACTAATATTAGTATAACTATTATTAAAATCTTATACAGTAGAAAAATGATTTATTAAAGTGTATCTGTATTGATAAAAGTACATGACTATATTATTGAAACCTTAAATATATTAATGATGATATAAAATTTTATTCATATGATTAATAATAAATAATATGCTGTTAGGTAAAAAGTGTTTCATTAAATTACAATTTTTTTTCAAATTGTGTAAATGAAAATGCTGATATGAATTTACAATACATACCTCAATTTTACTCAATTTTACTATGTCAGAAGCTGGAAGTTTCAATAAATATTCTACTATATCTTTAGGGTCCTCTTTTAGACACCCTAAACTTCTGGCTAAATTATATGCCGCTTCTTTATGTTTTTCATTTAGTGCCCAGGAGTTAAAAATACATCCACTTTGCATAATAGCCTTTTGAAATAATCCTACACTTAAAAAACAATACTGTAGAGAATAATTATTTTTATTTCATTATTTTATTTTTAAACTTATATTATTTAACTTATAATAATAGTAATACTCCAATTCAGAAATTTAAATTTATTTAAAAAAAATTTATTCATTTATTTTTTAATTGTGAACCACAAAATATAGATAAAAAATATGAATTTTTTCAATTATATTATGATAGGTTTTATTTGTTTATTTATTTAATATTGGTATATACGGGCGATGCCCTTGATAAAATACAATATATGTGAATTTAACATAGTTTAATATAGAATTTACAAGAAAATTAATTAAAACTAATACAAATATAAAGAAAAAAATCAATCAAAGACGAAAGAAGGGTCAATATTGACGTTCAACATCAGATGACAGAGAATTTATTGACTAAATAGTTAGTAGGTGCAAGAGGAAGTAAAATTAAACATGTGATATAGAGTTACTTCGGGGAACTTTAAAGGAAGTTAGCGAAAGGAGGGTAAGAGAATCAATAGTACATTTTTGATGACCATTTAAAAACCGAATTCCAGCAGAGTGCCTATGGTCAGTAAAAAAAGAAAGGTCTAATAATGTAGCAACAGGAATATAATAATAAGGAGCGTAAGGGATATGGAAAGAGAAGCTTAGGAATTTGAAAAACTTATGTTGGATCCGCTCGAATTATTGAATATTACAAGAATATTGAGGATCCTAGATTATAGTGTCATATTCAAGAATGGGTCTGATAAGAGTACAAAGTAATAATTTCACAGACAAGATTGAACGGACATTTTTGCCAGCCTGATGATAAAGCTAAGTATTTTGAAGGCCTTCATCAGTACCTATCTGCGAGGTAAGACCTAAATAAGGAAAGGAGAGGCTGATCATTACCGGATGCTCTTAGTATATGAATAAGAATTAAACGATCAACAGTATCAAATGCCTTGTGAAAGTCAGTATAGATGATGTCAACCTGAGCGCAGTTAACGAGTTGTGTCCCGACGAAATTCTGGTACTCGAGTTGTGTCAAAATAATAAAAGTGAGGTACATAAGGTTAGATTAGGTGCTCCTAAAAATGAGGTAAATTGAAATCGATATATTACATAAGGATATAATAATTTATTTTGTATATTAAAATAAAAATGTTTATATAAATTCAAATCCAGAAATGTATCTATTATATTGTTATATAATATACCTAGGTATATTATATAAGACTTACCGAAAAAAAGTCGATTCTACCCATTATTATTGTCATTTAGAGATAAGGTGTGCGTGGAACTACAAAGATTGTCATTGTACGTTTACGATCATTATTATTTACAAATTCATACTTTTTGAGATATTATTATTTTTGCAAATAATTAAAATTATTTTTATTGTTATATTCAGATACTATAATTATTTATATAAATTAATATAACAGAACAACTTTTCTTCTTGTATAAAATGTTATATACATAATACGAGTATAGGTATACGTATAATATTGTAACTGAAAAATTATCAGTTTGTGTATACAACTTATGTAGGTACCTGTAAATTTATTATTTTTCGGGACATAATTCGTATAACTCAAAAAAATCCACCGGATACAACTCGTGTAAACCGAAAAAATATACAGAACACAACTCGTTTAAAACTAAACTGTAAGCACTGAAATAGATTAAAAATTAAGTTACTAAATAAACAATTTTAGGTGGTAGCTTCTATTTCCTCAATGAGCATACGATTAATAGAAAGTTGTATGGAAGATAGAATCAAAGACTCAACTATTTTAGAGATGTATTATAGAATGGAAATAGGATGATAGCTGGAAACAATAGGTGGAGAGCAAGATTTAAGGTTAGGTGTAATAGAACTTAATTTAAGTATAGATAAGAAAATACCGGCGTAGAGTGAGCGTCTAGAAAGAAGCCAAAGTGGGTAAGCCAAAACTGATCTTAGCTCGTATAGAAAATTGCCGGAAACACCACTTGGGCCAATTAACCAGGCATTGCAAAAAGCTGAAAATATCATCTACGCTAAGTATAGTATTGTTAAGAGGGCCAAAAATAAGAATGTCTTGATGCTTAATATTTCTACTTATTGGTTGGGGTGAATAAACTGTGGAATAATAATTTAAAAATAGATTGGTTGACTGAAGTTCATTAGATGAAGAGGTATCGTTGAAGAACATAATTTTAGGTATAGTGTTGTTAGAATGTTTGATGTGTATAAATGTTCAAATTTCACGTGGTTTTTATTTTAATGAGAGTTTAGCAAGCGTAAAGTAACTGCTGTAGAATTTTTTAGATTCGTATTTGAATTTGGTACGCAATAAAGAGAACTCATTATACACTAGGACAGAAAATGAAGATTTAAATTTGGCGTGGGCTTTCTTTTTGAAAAACAATATTTTTTGAAGGTCACTAGTGAACAATGGAGGGAATATGGAATCATAGAAATTGGAATGGAGTACATAAAGAAAAATTGATTTATGCAGGACATCATGGAAAGTATTGACTGCTGATTTAGAGTCAAGGTGACGGTAGGTGGAAGGCCAATCAAATGAAGACAATAAAGAACGGATACAATCGTAATTAACTTTACGAAAATTAAAAAGTATAAAATATGTTCTTATAAATTAAAATATGTTAGAATAAAATAAAGTAATATTTCTTTTTTATTTGCAAACCAATTGTTTACTAACCTGTAGATCTTGGAGACAGTGTATGACAATGAACCGATGCAGATCCTGCACTTTCTCCAAAAATAGTAATATTTTCCGCATCACCTCCAAATGCTGATATATTTGCTTTTACCCATTTTAATGCAAATAATTGATCTTTTAAACCCATATTACCAGGACATTCATCAATATCGAAATTTAAAAATCCTGAAAATAAAATCAATAATTGTATTGAATACATTTTAATCTTAAATATTTTATACTTAAAATATAATACTTAAAGGAAGGGTTATCATTGACAAACAGCATTAAAAACCTCATTGGTTCGTTGTTTGTATAGTTATTTTAAAATTGGGTATGAAAAGGATCTAGGTGTACAGATAGAATGTTGAAGAATCTTTAAATTAATAAGTAATCGGAGAACAAGAGAGTCTATAGCATTTGATAATAAGCTGCATAGAAAAATTTTGCCTAACAGCTGTTTATGGTCCGCAAAAAAGTCTAGGCCAAGAATTTTTATAACAGGCGTAATCATTTAATGCCTAAGACTTCTATTTTGAATATTTTTTATAGTAACATAAATAATAAAATACTATTATAGTAAATATACCTAGGGCATTAAGACGATAGTTGAATGTGACTACAATAATATTTTCATCAATCAAATAATCCGGTGTGTAAAATTCAGGTGATGAAGATCCATTATTAAATGCTCCTCCATGTATAAATATCATAACAGCTTTTTTTTCATCCAACTTCTCCTAGTAAATTATAACTCTATAATTAATTTAAATTAATAGATAATACTACTTATATATATTTTTACAACCTGAGGTACAAATATATTTAAGAACAAACAGTCTTCACTTCCAGAAATTTTTTTGGTCAACATATAGTACTGCATACACATTTTCCCTGGCGTATATGCATTGAACACCCCAGACCATCCAGGATGTTTTACAGGAGGCTAATACAAAATCAATACTTATAAATATCTCATCAAATGACAAAGGTCCATGTACAGTGCAAAATAAATAGTAAACATGTGAATTTCTAATGTTAGGTGCAATTTCTTTACATTATTATTAATCACTATTTATTCTTGATGTACAATTATACAATTATGGAAATAAAATGTGATTATTTAATGTGATTATTTATTAATGTCAGTATTAGATTTAAATAACTTTATCAAAAAGATACATTTTCATTACAAACCTTAAATCTCAAAGAACCAACAGGTGGTCTAGCATACGGTATACCCAGAAAACAGGCATACGGTTTATTTGAGACCTTTGTGTGGTAGTGAAGTCCATTTAAAGTACCTTGCTCAATTGTGACGGTAGTTTTCTTTCGAGGCTAAAAAAAAAATAATGCCTGTAAAATTGATATAATTTTATAAATTTAACCAGTGGCGTAAATACGGCCGTGCACAACGATGCGTTTGCGCCTGCTGAAATAAACTTACTCCAAATTCTATAAAATATAATTATATTTTATTTTTTTATTGAATTGTTTGATAAAAGATAACAAAATTAAACAAATTATAAAAATATAAAACACGTTACATTATGTAATAATTATGTTATCATTAATCAATTATAATCATAGCCACGACCTTAGAAGCCACTTCATTGGTAGTATTCAGAATTTCGAATTTGTATTTTGTTTGATAATTCCTTAAAAAATAATAGAACACACTAACGCAGCGGCTTCCAAAGTGTGGGCCATGGTGCCCTGGTGCGCCACAATGTCTGTACAGGGGCACCGTGCCGTCATGAAATACTATCTGGTCTAACATTTTCCTTATAATAATTATTAGTCATGTTATGACTTGAGGAAGGACGCACTGAAAAAATCTTACATCAAAAAGGGCGCCGTGAGTCAAAAAAGTTTGGGAAACACTGCACTAACGTATTAGATATACAAACATTAGTAATTTACTACACGGTTGTTTTATACAAAAAAAGAAAGTATGGAGGCTTAGCCCCAAGATTGCCTCATATTTAAATAAATTTTGATATTTCATCCCATTAAAAAATCCTGAGAACGCCTCTTGTATGCAGTGTATTTATTAAACTAGATAACTAAATGACACAAATGTTGCCCAGCGAAAATATTTTGTTACCTAGTTGATAATATTTACATACAATTATTTGTCGAAAGAAGATTTTTTGAAAATTATATAAAAAAAATAAAAATATTTTGGTAATGTACAATTTATAAAATTTGTATATAATACAATATACAAATCCGAATTAAAATAATTTTGAGCCTTGGGCCAAACAATTTTATAAAGGCCTAAATTTATAATTAATAACTAGGATAGGTTTGAATGCTTTTACATGTTTTTTTACTAAAGTCCAAATTAATTGGTTTTCAGAATGTCAACGATATGGCTTATTTTCGATTAAATACAACCATTTTTTTTTTTGCATATTTTGAACTTAATGCATATAATTTCATATTTATAGATTTTTGAGAATCTTGTTAATTTTGTTAATTTCTAAACTTAAATTTTGAAGTTTTTATAATATTGCTAATTTTAAATGATATTTATATATTGAACGTTTATTTTTCGAATCGTTGTATATATATTACATGTATAATCTTATATTAATTGGACCAGCGTTTCCCAACCTTTTTGCAATGGTGACCCATAAATTTAATCTTTAATAGGTACGCGACTCCCCCACCCCCTAAAAAAAATTATGCCGTAAATAAATAAGATTTTTTCTATAATCCATTTTATCATTGAGTTTTTTATAAAATTTAATACGAATACAATATACTGAATAATAATAACTTAGTAAATAAATAAATAAAATAAATTATAAAAAAATACAAAAAATTAGTATAATAGAAAATTTAGTGTGAATTTTGATTTTGGACACTGTTGCATAAAATTTCCCACTGGGGTACAATTTCAGATAAACTGATGCGCATGTCATGTGTGACATCTAATTTGTTTCTTTGTTTTGTTTTAATATTGGCCATGTTAGAAAATCCTTTTTCGCACAAATAAGTGGTAGGAAAAAGTAATAGTTTTTTTATTGCATTAATTGAAAGTTCTGGATATTCATTATATACTGCACACCAAAAATCTACAAGAGTTTCATTTCTAAATTTATGTTTTAAATTTATGTCAATGTAAATTATGTATGTGAAAATGATATTTGTTTAATTAATGTTCTCCAGTTATATAACAGTCTACATATTCTCGTGCACTATAATTTAACATCCCCGGGAAATCAAGTATAAATTAGACCAGTGGTTCTCACCTTGAGGGTCTGGAACCACGAGATGAGGGATCACACCCATCAAAAGTAATTAAATACTGATATAGAGAAACGACTTTTTATTTATATTCAAAATAAGAAATTTATACATAACCGTAATGATAAAAATTAAAAAGTTAGTTTGTAGTATAAAATACTATACATTTCATTTCATTCATCTAGCAATTCAAAAACTCCTGTTTTTGTTTCGTTAATGGTAATGATCAGTGCTCGAACTGGGGAGGGGGGGGGTACGCAGGGGGACAGAGCTCCTCTATTTTTTTTTTTTTGCGTAACCCAATTATATTTTTCGCTGGAACGGGGGACGCCATGTTCATCCTAACTAATGTCCAAAATAATTTTTATTAAAATGTAGATTTCAATTAACATCAATTTTATAAGGAATACTACGATTTATAATAACATAATTAATTTTGATATTCATTTATTAGCACGTTAATTTCCGCTTGTATTATCAATTTTTAGAGCCCAGCCTATGTAAGCCGAAATTATGATTAGTCGACTACGCAGCACAGTTATAGATAGAACCGTGCTATGCAGACATGCAATATGCGTTGACCTAACGACCCGTGCTTAGCAATATACAAAATATATAATTGGTTGAAAATTGATTCAAATGTGTGGTAAATATAATTATGTTTACGCTTAGTAGGTACCTAAGGCAAATGAGAAAGTATATTTTCATAATAAAAGATTGTATGCTGGTTATGATAAGCGACGACGTTGACATTTCAGAAAAAAATATAAATAGTAATGTCTGGTATATACGGATATTATTTAGTATATGCTGTATTCATTGAATGGTTTGTTACTAATATTATCGATATTAATATTTGGAATTTAAATATTTATATAGCTGAAAAGTGGTATTCAAAATATATGTAATGTTGTTAGAGGGGTGTGGGGGTCGGTGTTAAATAATTGCGCACATGGAACGCAGTTTTTAAATCGTTGGACTGAGCTACTTAATTTTTCCCAATTCGAGCACTGAATATATGGATTGTATATTTTATAAAATCAGAACCATGTGAGACTTCAGGGCCTAATATATATATGGGAGCCTTTAAATAAATATATTATACAATTTTTGTACAAATTGAACATTTACTTTATTGTTATTCCAATTTGTAGATCAGCCACGACTTATTTAAATCTTATTCACCCATGTCATATGCGGACGAAAAAATCAGTTTTTCTTTTCATCGATAAAATTACATTATTTTTATAGTAAGTTTTTCTTTTTAATTTTATCAATTAAGCTAATTTTAATATTTTGCATTCGATATTTATATAACAAAATAAAAAAAAAGTGTAAAATTATGATATTTTGTAAATATATTGTAATTTTTGCAAATATGGGTCCATTCAAATCCCGAAGCTCCTGGCTTAACTAAAGCTTAAGAAGTTAAGTACATCTTACCACAACGGTTCTGGACAAGAAGCCGGTTAGTTTGTTGTAAATGAAGACGGCCGCGAGACGACACACGACGATTGACTCCCTCAACTTCGGCATAACCGGATGGGTATAATATTTGTTTGAATGGTATCACAGATTTTTGTTAAGTGTTTAATAATTAGTTGAACGCTAGACGATTGGTATAAAATAATTTAATTTTTAAAGAAAAGAAGAGATCAAATACAACCGTACATAGATGCATTCATGGTTTCGTACTGCTGCAATGCTGTTCGATGATGTGTTTGAATGCCATTGATTGCTTAATGTTTTTAATTATAAATTATAATATATTTATATATATATTACAATTTATTATAATACCGCATTAAGACAATCTTAGACCGTAGTTACAATTATAGTATTTTTCGAGTTGGTAGTTGATTGGATAATGATAAGCTAATGATAAGATATTACATAAGTATTTAATCTCGCAGATAAGTAAGTATATACGAAGTTACACTTGTTATTATTCACACATAATTTATTTGATGGGTACATCAATCGTTGTAAAATTTGATAAATTATAAATATTGTTTTAGATACCGATCCGAAAATACCTGGAAAAAATTCAAATTTTTTTAACTTCTCTATAACGAATCTTATTTTAAGTTATGTCAACACAACACTATATGAATGACCTACTTGACGTATTTATTTTATTGTCAATCAAAAGCATGATACTGACGATTATCTGTGTCATCTCGTAAAATACTGATTTTGTAATATAATGAAACATCTAATTTAGTTATATATTTAGTTATAGCATTTATATTGGTAATTGCACACCTGAAACACAACGTTGTATAAAGTAGAAATTATAATATACAAAAATTAGGTATATTCAGTGGTTTATTGGTAAATATATTTGTGGGTATACGCACTAAAAAAATATGGATATTAATCCTAAAATAAATTTTCTTGTTTCGCTCGACAATTGTTTTCTCTCGATACGTTTGAAAAAATGTAATTAATCCTTTGTAACTACATGTTTATAACTTCTAATAAGACTATAAAATATAACACCACAAGATATACATTTACAGCGCGTTATAAATTGCATGATGCAAATTTAAGAACCATAAGCTGAATGTTCACACTCCATACTATTTGATTCAATGTTATTCACTACAGTTAATAAAATACATTAAACATAGCGTACACTGTAATTTCCATCAGCTAAATATTTCAATCAATTTCATGGTTCATAACAATTTTTTCCAATGTACTGTTAAATTATTATTAGTTTTTCTGTTTTCTAGTTATTTTAGAAGCGTATACCCGTAAAATAATATTTTACATTAGGTATATGCCGAAAATCGAAAATCTGTTGATGTGGTTACGCCGTATACCCACGTATACGTACCAATACATCCCTGGGTATATTAAATACCTTACTTCAATTTTAACCGCATTTCTTTAAACATTTTTGTAACAAATCTGAGATGACAACATTACTTGAACATTTCCTCCTAGTTGCTTTATCCACTTTGCCGTTTATATAGTTCCTAATATATGGTTGCTACATTCAGATTTAAAAAATAATTAATGTTAATTAATAGTAATAATTATAATACTGTAGATGATTTCATTTTTTGCTTAAGATACGAGGAGATAATTAATAACTAACAACTCGAGGTAACACGTTCTTGTTATGTTCATAAGACGTTTTTGACCACGCAAGTAATAAATGTTTAACACTACAACCATCAGCGGCGTATTTAAGGAATGGGCCCATGTGGCCCGTGCCTCCTCCATCCACCGTATTTTATACTTTATTTATTATTGTAAGTTCTCTTATTTTTCACGCACGGGCACACGGTGGAATATTGGACTATCAATATTTCATGATAATAAGATACCACCGATTAAACGGATTAGCATTGTTTAACAGGTTGACTGCCACGCTAAAACTACAAGGCTTGCTATTATCGCCGAGTAGGATCTATTGACCCTACAGTATATTTTACTGTCAGGCCTTGTAGAGTCTTCAGATCCTACAATTAAAATATATTTCTAGGCCGCGTAGGGTTCTGAGATCCATCGCAATGTATAGTTTTATATGGAAAAATACTTTAACGTGGCCTCCTTGGAAGTTCTATGAAATGGTTTTGAGATATAATGTCTCTTTATGAAATAAAATATATTTTTATTTTAGCGACCGTGTTTTCCAAATATATTAAATCATATTCTTATCGATGTTCAGTATTTTTAATATAAATTGAATAAATACAATTTAAAATGTTATTTGTGGACTGTCATTAGTCATTGTCGACTATCGCAATAGCACTGTTGTACGAACCGTTATACAATAAATTACGTAAGTGGTAAGTGTAATTTTATTATAAATTAATTATTATTTGCAATAAAAGTACCTATTATGGACCGATTAATTGAAGATAGGTTAAATAATAGCGATGCTGAATTACATGATGACGATGATGATGATGATTATGAGGTAAATATATAGCATAATAAAAATAAAATAAAATAATGTATATGGTACATAATAAGTATAAATAAATTAAGGGTTATTATTATATTGTTTTATTATTATTATTATTAGGTATTCAATAAAGTTACTAAGTATCAAAAATGGGTACATAATATGTTTTCGTCTCGTAGGGTTTAATCACCCTACGTATTCCACATAGGACATGTAGGGTATATAAACCCCACATACGTTTTACGGTATAATACTACTCAACAAAGTAGTATAATGAAATATTGTCCTATGACATTTTTTTATAAAATTGATATTTTTTATTTAAATCATAAATCAAAATACAAGAATTTATGAAAAATGATAATGGCAATTTCATCAAAGTTCGTTTTGGGTCAATTCATCCTACATGGCAGTCAACCTGTTAATAAACACCCTGAAATAATTAAAAAACCTGAAGACGTAGTTGATGCATATGCTAATAAACACCCCAGACATCTTCAGTTATTGTAATTACAAAAATTATACTTAAAAATATGTTTTATTATAAATTTATGTTTTGATTATTTGGTTATGAATAACGACAGTTGTTCAAACACCACAACGGTTTGAATTTTCGCTCCATAGCATGTCGTACATTGTGCCATGAACGTCTCGAACTTTCGAGAATTTCATGACACACACCCCCTCTACATCTCGGGGCAGTCCTGATGACCGGTCTGCGACTCGGCCTTTGCGGTTTTTGTCTTTTACGTGAACTCGCGCGCGATACACTTTCATCTCTGTGTAATCTTCTCGCGTTGGTCGTCACGCGGAATTTGTGTGTCGTTCGAAGTTTTCGCCGACTATCGGCCATATTTTCCTGGAACGGATCGTCATCGTCATCGTGGTGTAGCTGTGTGATGTTGCGCCATTGTCCGTAGACATCAGATTGACCATCCTGTGGCTGGTGATATATTTTGTATTTTATTTATTATTTATGTTTGTATTCCGATTAAGATTATATATCGTTCGTATGTTTTACGCCCATAAGACGTTATTGTGAATATTATTATTATTTATTTAACAAGAGCGCCCGTATTATTATTACACTTTATTTTGTATTAATATGATTAATTATTTATTGTAATATTATTGGACACACTCGAGTTGGGTCCCAGATTTCAAAAACAGCATGAATTGAGTCCGGACGTATTTTGTGGAGTACATGAGTTGGGTCCCAATATATTTTATAGAGTGCATGAGTTGGGTCCCGATATATTCTAGCCTATTAGTTCTAGCCTAGATGTTGTTTTTTATTAATTTCAAATCATTAGTGTCTATCGAAAGTATATCACTGTTTTTCAACTCAGATCTAATGATCTTTGAAGGTCGTGTAGAAATATCATCTTGTGCTTTTCTTTTAACCGAGTTACTTAACTTTTGTCTATTCAGAACCTTCTCATCACATTTTTGGTGATTATGTACGTTACATTTCTCTATTATGTCTAAAGTGCAAAATAGTTTTAAAAAACACTTACTGGTATTAAGATAACATTTCCAACGTTGTACATCATTCCGCAAAATTTTGTGGAAGCGAAATTTTAATCCGTCTTTAATGATAATTTTTTTACCTTTTTCGCTTGACATGAAAGCCATAATTTAATTTTTATATGTAATATAACAACAACAAAAAACAGGCTATACTTTTTATATTTTATTAGATGGACTTTTAACCTTGACACGTGCCGGTATACTGACAAGTTACAATATGATTATAAGATTGTAAGATAAAATATTACCGATTATTATTAAGACTACATTAATACTACTTATTGCTGGAAATTACTACGGACTCAATTCGAGTATTATCGAATAACATCGCGGACCCAACTCGTGTTTATTTTAAGCGATCAAATAGCTCGGGACCCAACTTGCGTTTTTTCATATTATTACGTACCCGAACTCGGGCGCATCATCATATAGATATATGGTTTTTGTTTATTTTTATATATAATTCGAACAGTGATAATTATTACCTGATCCTTCATTACGCGAGTCAGAGCCGCCGACCACCATATTCGTAGGAGCGATTCTGACGCAAACAACAGTTTTTTGAGATGGAAAAGTTATAACTATGTATACTTTGAACTTTGTTTGTGCCCCCCTCCCCCATAAGAAGTTTCTAAATACGCCCCTGACAACCATCATCACTTAATTCACAATTTTCAATAGCATTTATTCAGCTGTTGATCTTGTTTATTCCTTACCATCTGTTTCTATTTCTTCCCACGCCATAATTTGAGTTTTTTCTAGTACAAACTTGTGTGATTTCTGATATTTTTCTGGCTACATGTAATACATTTACGAAATGGTCGAACATTTATCTATTTTGAAGTGATCCTGTCACGTAGCAGTAATAATTGTAGCATTTGCAGTTAATTTATTATTTGAAATTTTAAATCTGGAACAATTGTTTTCTATTTTATTGCATATACAATGAACATTTAAAATTAAGTTCCGAAAAATAAATGTTACGAATTTTAATTAACTTTTGGCCGGGACAATTCGATTATCCGTTTTGACGGTTTCGCTTTCAAAGTGCTTCTCCGTATCAGGTACAGGTCGAATTCTATGTCCATTATTGTCTCTGGCAACAGTGCTTTAGGCTTGAACAGCCGTTCAATCTACGGAAATTCTATGGGTACCATTTGCTTTCTCGAAGACCTAGGTTCTCTTGGACGAACATAAGGTTTATGTGCCATCCCTGCTTATTTCGCATCTGATACTCTGCTCAGTCTTTCGTTAAATTCTTTCACTTGACACACTTGACACAACGTCAACTTTCTTTCATCATTTTTTGGAACGTCAATAATACGTATTTTTGGTTTAGCATTTTTTGTGAGTCATTCCTCTCGGAACTTCTTGGCTTCGTTTGCGTTTGTTTTCGAGTAGAGTCTGTTCGTATTTAAGTATCTGTGGTTTTTTATTGTGTCCATGCACCTTGCGTGTATGTGTCTTGCTTATGATTTTGATTTGGATGGTTCCACCATTCATTTCATGGAATAAATTTTGATTCTATTATTTACGATTGTAGGGGGCTCCGATTGCGGCTTCCTAATTTTTGGTCTGGCCAAGTATTCTATTCTCGATGGAACTCTACCGTAAAAAGTATGATGTTCGATTTTTAATGTTAATTCTTGTATGAGTTTGGATTTGGATACGGTTTTAACCGAATCGCTTTCGGTGGAGCTAACCAATAATATGCTGTTTCCTTAAGAATAATTGTCATGTTCAAATAATTTTCGAAATTCTTTTTCCAAACTACGTTACCTTTTTCGTTAAGCTATGAACAATGAGGTAAACATTACATTACTATATAAGTATGTTAACACGATGATTTTGTACTAGTTTTTTTATTTCGCAATTTTCTTTTACGTAATATCAATTTAATCTAAAGCTGTATTGTTTCAGCAGTAAATAAAAAAAAACCTTTTAGATGATAGAAACGATCGATTCAACAACCATCATCACAATCGTTAGCACCACCATTAGGTGAATGAAGTAACTGGCAGGTGGAGTGGTGACGCCAGAATATTTTACTTGGTGGAGCCAATGGAAGGCAACAAATTTTAAGGTAAAATTAAATTACATTTACAAACTATAAATAAAAATAATTTAAGACATATATTTATGTTGTGGCTAATGTTATCATACAGTATTACAGTATCTAGTATCCCTATTATTTTTAATTCCGTATTTTTGTGTTTTTATGGTAAAAAATAACCATTTATTTTCTGTTTATTAAAAATAATACGGTTTAATATCCAGTGGTAAGGGCCATTATCCTACCTGACCTGCCGGGCGTAACACGTTTCCACCAAAAGTGGACATTTCCTTTTTCCATCAACCCACGTTTCCAATAAATGATATTTTCACTGATATCCGTTTCCACTAAATAAATTTATATACTTCTTCACTACTTTTTATCAATCGTTACATCCAGTTTTTATCTATATTTCTTCAACAGTACTAATATCTAACATGCAGCAATAAAAATAAAACACAGCGTTTCATTTGATACCCTACTATCCATTTATTTATAATTGTTAAATCATTCACTTAGGAATAATTTATTTTGCTTTCAAAATTGTTGTTTTTGTATAATCTAAGTATTAAAGTAAACAAATGTATCAATATAAGTAACTAATTTTTTCTGTTTTAGATTTTTGACAATTAACATTGTAAATAGAGTAAATATATAATCTAAGTTCTGTGCTCATATTTTAAAGTTAGAATGGGGGAGGAGGCCTTTTTACGAAATGTTCCAATTTTACGTTGACGCCAGTCCGTCAATTATCGCCGACCCGCGTTGACTTCATTTCCATTGTACTTTTTACTTGCTTCGTGTTAATTTATATTATATAATATATATTATTATTATTTATTTATTTATATTCGTGTTTAATTTAATTTTAATTTGATTCTGTATAATAAGAGAAGAAAAGTTGAATTCGAAAACTGACAATTTTTAGCTGAATAGACGGAATTATATTTTTTTTTTTTATTATTTGTTTTATTTTATCGGACCACTCAAGGGCCTTGCCATTTTGTTATGTCACCAGACAGTAGCTATTATTAAAGTTTTCAATGTTAAACATCATTATGACATTTCGCATAAATCATTTGTTGAAAAATGTGTGCATTATAATATATATTTTAAAAATATATGCATAGAATTTTGATAGCCCTGAAAATTTTCAAAATTCCAAATGTGGCCCTACAAAAATATTAATTGGTAACCCCTGATCTAGTCACTATGATTGTGTAAATATTAAAATTTGATAGATAACAATTACGATAATATGTAATAATGTAATCGGGCCACCAGGGTTATACACTCGTAATAAATAAAATATTCAAAGTTAATTAACATCAAGGTACATTTTTACCGAGAAAACTTTTCGCTGTTATTTTCAATCAATCTTGATCCGCAATCGAGTTCATAAGTTATCATAATTTGATAACAACTTTAAATTTTATTGAATTTAATTATATTGCATTTCAACAGCATATAAACGATAAATGTGATACGAAATATAAATTACTTATTTATTTGCAGAGCTTCTATTTCTATAAAATTAACTTTTTATTTCACTGCCAGTACTTGATCAAATTAAAAAAAATTAACATTGAAAACCTAATTTAATTTCAAAAATAATAATAAAAAGTATACATATTTATTAAATAAATTTCAATAAATTATGAGTAGGTTCACTGAAATTCGGATATCCAACGATATAACTACTTGTATATAAAACTATAAAACCAAAACTTGACATATCTGGGAATGTTAAATTATTAAATTGAATTATTTGAAATTATATTGTAATGACTTCTCAAAAATAGATACAGAATTTAATTTAATTATTTTTTTTTTTTCATGGCACATATTTTTAACGGAAATTAATTTTTAACATTTATAATTTTCGGTGAAAAAAGTGACTAGAACGAAAGATCAGATCATGTAATGTTGCTCGAAATTAAATTTTTAGCAAATAAAATGTGTAGCTAAAATTTCGATAACCACTGTAAGAGATCGGACACTCAACATCTACCCACCCACCGGTTAATTACAATGTCAACACTTCAGAACTTGTAGAGAGGTAATTTAACTAATATACTACGTGTGCGTTATGAGGAAAAGAACTTTATTATCCTTAACCAGACTCCTTAGACAATATTTTTCTAACAGGCTTAAAAAAATTATTTACACACGATAGTATAGGAGGTAATATTTACGATTAAATGTTTGGTCTGGTGTAATGGCACAGAATTGACAAAAAAATCGGACAAATACTATTAAACCTAAACGTGATCAGACCAGTGGCGCAACCAGAGGGGTGGACTTCGGGTCTGGACCTCCCCCCCTTGGTACGTATAATAGTATATTAATATCATATTCTAGATATATATATATTATAATTTTTTATTATTTGTATATTAGTCATTGTATATTGTCAGACCCCCCCACCATGAAAAATTCCTGATTGCGCTACTGGATCAGACCACAACTAAAAATTTAACTTACAACTTTGGAATGACAATTGGAGACTTATTGGACAGTTGGCCAATGACCACTACAATTAACAATAGACAGACAAATTCCATGAATATGAGATGGTTGATTGACGATAAATTGACCACGCAGGCAATGAGATGAATAGTGTTGACAACATTTTTAGTGGAGGAATAAATAATTGATTGATAAAAAGTCGATTTTTATCAATTTATTATATAAGTACTAAAATTGTAAAAACCCGAGCCCAATTGTATTATATCTGACACAATAAAAAATGTATTGACATATGTTGCTGCAATAGTAGACAGAAAAACATAAAACATAATACAATAACAAAAACGTGTTGGTTCAACATTGAACGACGAACGATAAAAGTGACGATAGAAAAATATTGCACAGTAAGATCGTTTGTCAAACACATGTATATTATATATTACAATAGTAATACCATAGACAATGAATGCGGCATGATTGGATTATTGCATTAATCATTCGACAGATAAATTGGACGGCTGGGAAATGTGAACAAATCAGGAACGGTCGCGTTGTCATGCCGAGTAGTATCCGTTTTATAAAACTTTGCGATTAAACAAACATTTTTTAATTAGTGTACACATTTATGTTGATATAAAAGCAGCATGGCTAATTTTGACGGTTAATTAACTATTAATTAAAATTTTGTAATGTAATTACGAGACACATATTGCAATAATTTTTTCTGAATAATGTGTCTTCTTATCGTTTTAAAATATGATTTGACCACAGAACAATTATCACTAATCATGAATGTTATTTAATTACAACCGTTAATGCAGCGGTTCCCAACCTGGGGGTAATTATCCCCCAAGAGGTAAAAACACGATTTTTTGAGGGGTAAAGGTTAAACTATTTATTTTAATTTTAAGTACTTATTATCTATTTAGTCAATTATTTTGATAATCGAGATATCTCGATTGTATATCTCGATTACTCCTATCACTAGTCCAGACGGAGCAGCTTTTCCCGCGCGGCCTCCGTCGCGTCCACACAGTGCGGCATATATTTCCCGATTTGTTTTAAAGCTATAATAATAATAATAATAATAATATAATATTCATAAATACTATAGAGTCGTGTCATTTTTAATGGGCAACGAAGTGAACGAAATCAGCAAGTAATCTATATTTTTGAATCTTAAAAAACATGAAATTAAAGATGTTTGAAAATTCATTATTGATCATAGTATTTTTAAAAACACAGAATCTTCAGTATCGACATTTTGATAGAATAAAAATTGTGTCTTCTGGAGATTACTACAAAAATCAGTTTTACCTCAGTGAAAAAAGTTTGTTCTGTTGCTAATTATTTAAAAAATAATTTAAATACCTAATTAAAAAAATAAGTACTGATGCCGCGCGGCTTTACCGAAAATACGTCCACACACACGCGGCATAGGCGAGCGGCTTTCCTTTGATGTAGACTGCCAACTAGGCCGATCGGAAATTATGCCGCGCGGCATCAAAAAAAGCCACGAAAAATGTATTCATGTATTCAAACTCATGCCGCGTGGCAAAAGCCGCTCCGTCTGGACGCGCCTTTATATCCTATATATAAAATGATATCGATATTTAATTTATAGGTTTTAAATTTTTAACCATCAGTTGTTCGCAGTTTGTTTATTAGTGTACTTGGATTTTCAACAATGGTAACAATGAAAACAAAAGCAAAAAACCGATTGAACTTGGAATACGACATAAGATGTGCATTGATAGAAACTGAACCTAATATTAAATCAATTGATAAAAAAAGCAATATCAACCGTCTTATTAACGTTCATTACCGTTGTTCATTGGTTGTAATAAAAACTCTTGTTTTTTTTTGTTTGAAAAATTAAAATAAATTATAATTATAATCATAATATATATTTTTTCTCGTTATTTTTTTACTTAACTCTTTTTTGGAAGAAAGAGGTATTTGTTAATATCTAACATGACTGACTTATGGATAATAGTCTCAAAAAGATTGGGAACTGCTGGTCTAATGACATTTTTAATAAATTTGAAATCAACGATAAGATAAAATGTTAGTCTTTTTATTTACTAATGGTACATAATATTATTATGGTTGTAGTTTCATCAACATTAATTTTCTACGATATGTTTATTTCAGTGATCTCATCTTTACGATGGAAATATCAAATAACAAAGTACAATGTTTTAGTTTCAATAAAAATCCATTTGCTTTAAACAATTTGAGTAACTTTTTCGCCGTATATATTTATATATGTATAATATATATATTTGTGTGTGTGTGTGTGTGTGTGTGTGTAATTAACACTTTTTTACGACGGTTGAAACAGAACAGATAAGTATTAAGATAAACACTGTTGCCATTGATAACTAAAATCGGTAGACTACTGCAGATTTTGTTACGATTAACGATTATTTGTTTGTTTTATCCATATATTGTAGACGAAAACATACTAATTCACCTATATTTTTTAGCTCCGTGTACTTATATTAGTTGTAAAGGTCGTGACATTTATCAAAATAATAACACGTGGGTATGTGATTATTGTACTACAATATTTTACATGACTAAATTTATTTAGTAGTACTGTTATCGTATACTTCTACTAGGTACTTCTAAAAACCATCTGTATATATAAAACAGTAAGCTGATTGACTGCTATCAACGCACAGCTCAAACCATTGGACGGATCTGGCTGAAATTTGGCATACAGATAGCTATTATGATGTAGACGTGCGCTAAGAAAGGATTTTTCGAAATTTTGAATTTAAAGGGTTGAAATCGGTATAATATTTTTTGACCAGGTCGATAACTGCGCTATTGAAAATGAATTATATTAAATAAAACTATTAAAAAATTATTAAAAAACTATTAAAAACTATTTAAAAACTATTAATTTTATTTTTGGTAGTAAATGACGGGTATTGCATAAATATTAAACAAAAAGATCCCGCAACAGGTGCCAAAACAAATAAGAATGTTAGTTCAAAAAATTATTATGCATATCGATTGATGATTAGACGCGATCAGGACTAAGTTATTTTACGATGCATAAGCTTTGTCAACAATTCATGGTCGAAATATATATAAAGATAGATAGCGAACGATTTCGATACTTCGATTTCGATTTAATCAAAAAAAGCTGCGTGCAAAAGATACTCAAAACAATTGTTATATATTGGAGATGGGAAAGTTACTACAGATGAAACGGGATGTATAAAATTACCGAACGATTTCTGCACAATCATTTATTCGCAAGATGCTCTCATTAACCAGATATGTCCCAGTGTACACAGACAATACACAAATCATGAGTGGCTGGCAGAAAGAGCAATTTTAGTAGCAAAAAATGTGGAGGTCAACGAATTGAATCTCAAGATACAAAATTTGTTACCAGAAAACTTGGTGTCATACAAATCTAGATACAGTTTGCGATGCTACTGAAGTTGTAAATTATCCAACAGAGTTTTTAAACTCATTGGATTTACTAGGCATGCCACCGCATAATTTACAATTGATCATTACAATTTACCATCGATAAAATACCTCCTTCAGAGTCATTTAAAGTTGTAATACATGCAGATAAAAAACCACCAGAAGAACATAGAAGCAGGTATAATGCACCAACGGCAAATAAAGTTGCTTTAGTGTTTGTAGATCAGCAGTTTGATCGAAGAGACATCATTCTCGAAAACCGAAGTAACTAACTTCACCGTATCAGTGAGATACATGGAGCATACGACGCACTGCAGTATCCTGCAGTAATGTTTTGTTGGGGGGATGATGGGTATGCAATCAATATACCACAACGCGATCCAAAAACCAAGTTACCGCTTAAAAAAACTGTCTCTGCATCAAGTTTTTACTCATATAGAATAATGGTCAGAGAAGAGGAAGACAACTATTTAGTTAATTATCGTTCTCTTTTCAATCAATATTTGGTAGATGAATACGCCAAAATTGAAACTGAAAGACTAAATTACATCAAAAACAACCAAGCTAAATTGCGTGCAGATAGTTATATTCATTTAAAAGATGCGATTGGACGACGAGACATAGAAGCTAATCAGTTAGGCCAAATGGTTATACTCCCGTCAACTTTTACTGGTGGGCCAAGGTACATACACGAAAGAACACAAGATGCTATGACCTACGTTAGACATTACGGTCGTCCTGACCTTTTTATTACTTTTACATGTAATCCTTGCTGGGACGAGATAAAAGAGCTCTTACTTCCCGGTCAAAGATCATATGATCGACATGATATAATTGCAAGAGTGTTTCGGTTAAAAGTCAAAAAGACCATGAACTTATTGACAAAAAGTAAAATATTCGGAGAAGTGAGATGCTATATGTATTCAACAGAATACCAAACTGTAGAGAGGTTCAGGTAGTTGTAAGCTATAACTTATCGAATAGGTTATGATAATAATCATTATCTTAAAAACTAAATTAATATGTATAAAATATTATTTCAAAAATCTTAATTAATTTAAATTTCAATAGATTTAACAAAATTTAATCTTGGCAGGTTACATACATTTATATACTTAAACCCGGCAACGACGGGTAATTCAGTAAGTTATAATATATTTTCAATCAACTGAAATTATGTATTAATAATGTACGAGGCAGTGTTATATACGAGTACAGGCAGTGTTCGACTTGGCAAAATTAAAGAAGGGGGACTTTATTTACTTTAAAAAAAAGAACGTCCCTAAAACTGGCTGAGCGTTATGATTATAGCCTAATAATAGTAGGGGAACGTTAAAATTTCTTAAAATTAGTTGGGGTACTCCATCCCCCTGCGTCCCCCCCTCAAGTCGAGCACTAAGTATAGATATTGGTCTTTTTAGAGATAATTTTGTACATAAAATAAAATTTTAAATGTTTTTTTTATGTAGATATGTCACATAAAAAATAGAAGGAGGAGCTAAGTTAAAATAAGAGCTCAATTTTTTTTTTAGAGGTGGCAAAATTTGATTTTGCCTAGTGCACTATTTTTACTTGAGCCGGCCCTAATTGAATCAGTAATGATCATAAATAAGAATACCACTTCACTGCTACTCAAGGATGTATCGGGAAGGGGGTCCAGGGTGTCTGAACCCCCCGAAATTTCTTCAATATTTTACTAATGTTTAAAATACTTTATTTTTAATACCAACATAAATATTTTCAGTCAAAAATTACTTATGCTCCAATTAATCATTGACTGCTTATAATTTTATATCATAATATCATATTAATTTTAATAAAAGAAAATTAAATCTTTGTCAGTATATTTTTAACCAAATATCAAAATTTAAAATCTAAATTTAATAAAATTACAATATATATGTTTTGAATCTCTCCCGAAAAATTTTTTTAGATACACGGCCTTTTTTAGATACGGCCTTGCTGCTATTGAATTAAACACCATTATTACGAATTACGCTATATTAGCAGTATTTGAAGATTTTATTGTAAATATATTATGGCTCTATTACATTTGTATCCCCAATTTCAGTAAGCCTCAACAAAATAAAATAAATATTTTACTCTTTTATAAAACACTATACACATTGTATTTTGTACATCTTAGCTACAATTTTGAGGAATGGCAGTTTTTCATTCAGATCGAACCATCTCCGATATCTCATCCCAAAATTTAACTCTGGAACTATATAACAATTCGTTAACCATACACGTGTTATCGCCGTCAAGTGACAAATATTTTGGATCATCCGCGCTCGTACTATTCCACGTGACACTTGAATCCGGCGAATTTGGATTCCTGCAATCACAACAAGTCGAATAATTTGAATTCCATGCAAAACGCAAACTATACACACTTATTGGAATCCGTCAATAACATACCCAGTTTTAGCGAAATTGGCCCACAACTTGCTCATCGTCTTACACATTCTAGATTCTGGAGAGTTGGTTTTTGGCGCATATCCGAATAATTGTCCGTAAAACAAATAATTTAATTCGTCTGCATGACACGCACCTGATAATTAGGTTTTTTTTATTATTACAAAATTAGATTACGTATTATATTTAAAATATGCGAAAGTCTACATGACCGAGTTTAATACCCATAATAAATTAGTTACCTTTTAATGACTTTCGCAGTGATGGTCTTGAATTGAAGATAAGATGCTTGCAAAGATTAATCTCCCCGTCAAACTTAAATTCATAATTGTATACCGGTGTACTGCCGTCTTTCAGAAGATATTCATAACTGCCATGGAAGTCTCTAATAAAATATGCGTCGCTGTACAACTGTAATGTCAAAAATAAACTTTATAAATTCAATTTTTTTTTTTTTTTTTTATCATTGATTATAGAATTATATATTCTGTAATCGATGTTTATAATAACATAATAGATACAATTAATCGGAAAAATCAATAATTAGTAGAACATATAATAATTTTGACAGTAATTGAGTTAACCAAGGGCGGGCTGGCAGGGAGAATAGGTGGCCATATCTGTCCAGACCCTTCAGAAATGTTGTTTGGTCCTCAAGCTAGAGGAGTAAAGTAACCTAACTAACCTCAAGCTATAATTGGTCATGTAACACGAGACGCTTGTTTACTAGTTTGTAAAACTTATATCCGCCGGGCCTTCAGGGCCTCAGTCCGCCCCTGGAGTCAAAAATTATCAAATATACCTACGTGACATATGTTTTCCAATCTAGTTATTTCACACTCCATATTAACTTCGTCGAAGTAAAATTTCCTAATTTTATTAATAATTTCTTCACTGTATTGATTTTTGAATAATTTGTTGATTTCGTTGGATTTGTGAAAATCTACAAATCTTTTCATATTATGTTCTATAAATAAAAATAATATTAATTATACTTGTCTGCATACTGGTATGTTATAATGTGGACGTTATATTGATCATTTACAAATAAATAGTTATTATTTTTCTTTTTTAATAGTTCATCGAATGTACTGTTTTAAATTATACTAATACTCTTGTGTGACCGGCTTTATAATATTTTAAGTACAAAAAATAAATTTTTATATTTTTATTTTTCTCCATCTAGTTTTAATTCAGTCGAATTTTATAATTAATTAATAAAAATAATACCTAAAATTTACCTACAAAAAGAACTAATCCTTCCATTTGATTCACTCCTGTAATTATTGGTACTCGAGCAGCTTTTTCAACTAAAGTCTGAGGATGAGCTGATAAAAACTTTTCGGTAACTTCGTTACTTTCAACAGACGGAACAAATTGGAAATCTGGAAAATTGTCATCATCCTTTAAAAAATTAAGAAGAAAAAAATCAAAAAAATTAAACAATGTATTAAATAAATATGTAATTCATAAAACATGAAAGACACATACACAATATCGGAATAAAAAATGATAAGTAATTTTACTATTAGTATTAGGCAATAGCCCTTGAAGGAAAGGGATTGAGAATCATTAGAAATAAAACAGTGTAGGTACATAGAATATGACTTTGGAGGAAGATATCAAGAATTTGAAGATATAAGGAGACCAATAATAATAATCGGTGATGTGATAGGTGGTGTCGAGAACTTTAAATATTTAAAATAATTTGTACAAAAGGAGGGAAGTTTTGGCATAGATGTAATATATAGGATTAACCTTTTCACTGTTGCAGATGTACTATTACGTCCAAAACATTTACACCATTCACTGCTACAGACGAACTGTGACGTTTCTTTGTATAGAAAATAAATACACTAGGTACCACCATGGTGATAACACCGGAAGATAAAGAAAAAAATAACAAAATTAATGATGTATAATCTACGTTTCTAACTTCCATCGGTAGGTATGAAACACAATTTAAATTATTACTGTTTATATTGTTGACCAAATTGGTGCAATCGTACAATCACGTGCGTATAATATTCGGTTATCAATATTTTACTTATACTCTAAATTATATGACCATAACATTTAATTTTTTGCAATAATTTACAAAATATGAAACATAAAAAATACATTGTATTATTGTATAATAATAATATTATTATATTATATTTATTATAATTTATATATATATTATATTTATTATATTATAATTAATCGTTTTCCGGTAACCCTACAATTTTAGGAAACCCTGTTTCATAGAACTTTAAACTTAAGTAAAACTTAACTTAACTTAACTTAACTTTAAGTCAATTTTGATCTAAAAGATTTTTTAACTTTAGAGTTTTGTCTTATCATTAAAACATAATCTATTAATACTAAAAAATAATAAAAAATATTTTATTTTTTGCAGCACAGTTAGGTTGTTGAACATAAATATTGCAGCAGTGAAAAGGTTAAGTGCGGTTAGATGAAATCAAGAGAAGCGTCGGACGTTGTATGTGATAAGAAAATTCCATTATAAAGGTAAATTTTACAGAAGTTTAGCGAGATCAAATTTGCCATATGGTTCAGGGTATTGAAAGATTGATAGAAGAATAGAAGAGAGTATGAGTGTGGCGAAAATTAGAATGCTTAGCTGGATAAGTGGAGTAACAAGTGAAGATAGAATAAGGAACGAATATGTGAGAGGCAGTATTGATGTAGCGTCGATAGTAAGCAAGATGAGAATAAATAGACTAAGATGGTTTGGACATGTGACGAGCAAAAGCAAAAGCAAAGAAAAAAAAAGCAAAAGCAGTAAGAATGGTTAAGTTGAATGTTGAAGGAAAACGAAGAAAATTAAGACCAAAAAAGAGATGGTTAGATACGAATGAGAATGATATAAGGGCTGTTGGTGTGTACGTAGGATATGTAGAAAATCGAGACGAGTGTAGGTTTAGGACAAGAGTGGCCAACCCCAAATAGTTGGGAGAAAGGTGAAAGAGAAAAAGAAGAATATTAGTTATTAATAATATTACATATTGTTCACAAGTAAAAAAACTAATTACGTTTAAAATGTTTAAATAAATTTAATAATTGAGTATGAATATTTATAAAGAAACTCTGTGTGTATGTACATGTTGGTTTACTAACCCCAAACTTAGTACCCTTGATTAAATCAATGGCTGGCATTTTTAATAAATATTGTAATATTTCTTTAGGGTCATCTTTTAAACAACCCACATTTTTTGCAAATTTAAATGCAGTTTCTCTGTGATTTTCATTAAAAGACCACGAGTTAAAAATACATCCACTCTGCATAATTGCTTTTTGAAATAATCCTGTGAATAAAAATAATAACAATTAATGTAATTTTTAAAATAAACACAGTGAATCATCTACGATATCAACAGGTCTAAACGAAAATATTGTTCCATCACCGCATTAATTGTGCTCATTGTAAATTAAAATCACGAAAGAAATATTGTAATGATGGGCACGATGTACCATCATTTTAATTTATCGAATAGTTCAAAGACATGCCGAATTGCGGCATGGGCACATATTTATACAATAAAATATTATAAAAATCAACATTTTTCTCAACAAAAATCTCACTAACCGTTTTATATTTTTATAATGTAATAACACTTCATTCACCAATAATATGTACATTCTATAGCTGTAAAAATATTGCCTTATGTTAACTTTATCATATTTATATTAATATTAATCTTCATTTATATAAATTATCAAAAGATTAAAACATGCCGACTTGCGGTATGGACACGTAGTCACGTTCAACGCCCTTATAACAATATTGCCATATGTTCTTATCATATCTATATTAATAATAATACTGACTCGTGTAATTCTTCGCAAAGACATGCCGACTTGTGGCATGGATTTTTAAACATGTAATAAGCAACCAATAAATAATAAAATATACATTTAACAGTTAGAAAAATCACACAAATCAAATAATAAAAAACAAAAATTAACGATAACGAACCTAACGGTACAAGTCATGCACGACCCCTCGGCACTTACAGATCTAAGGGACCAAAGAAATTATATACCAACACCACCTACGTGACCAACAATAACAGTCGGTACATTAGACTCATACGGATTAAATAAAATATTTGAAGGTGCCGACGCCATCCCGAATTAAGTCAATCCCTTGGATCTCTCACCGACAAAGGACGTGCATACGTGACGTTTAGGTTATATAAGGAAGCTCGACGGTCAGTCTGAGCGCAGTGCGATGTCATAATAACCATTTAACTACATGCAATGCGATATCAGATCAATCACGCAGCCACAAACAATGCAAGATGTCACACCAACCAGTAGTCCTAGCCATCGTTGCTGAGACTACAGTTTTAACAGTTGTAATTAATCTCACTTAATTTCTTAAATATTCATGTGATTTTCATAACTGTTGAATAATTACAACATAAAAGAAAATCAATTCTTTTTATTTCTCTTTCAATCAATCTCTTGAGTAAAAGATATTTTCCGAGCCATTGGTGTATTGGTGTCCTATCCTGTGGAATTTCAGCGTGAAGACTCCAACATATCAGAGTCAAATTTACACCCGAGGAGAAAGGTAAGTGGAATAATACATATTATATCTCCTCTATTCAAACTCCCCTATTAACCTTATAACCTCCCGTTGATTTCTGTATCCCAGAGTTAACCTCACGACCCCGAATAAAATATAATTCGTAATAATACACTGTCCTCCGCGAACGTCGAGTGGCTGTTGCTATAGGCCAAACTGCAGCTGATACTCTACGTGTCTCAATAGTTCAAGCCAATTCATCTAGGCTTTGTGTATTATTCACAAGGTAATTCACCAATTATAGGAAAATTGCGAAGTCGTCCTTCGCAGGTGTATCCCCATCGCCAAGATCTACATCCCGTACTTCCCTCCCTTCATTTTTTATATATTTTTGGTTTATTAAAATATGTAAATCAATATACTAACTATACAATTATCAGAAACAATGAACTTTTAGGTACCTATTACTAAAGTGATTTTAATTCTAATACTAGAAATCTTTTTTTCCTGTAGAAAATTATTCAATATTGAACCACGTGGCATTATAATTATAGTTGAAAAAAATGTTATAATTAATATTTTTCTAAATTTAAATTTAAATTGTATGCAAATACTTAGCTTATATTATTATGTTACTATGTCAATTAACCTAAGACAAATGAGCAAAATTAGCTGGTTGACAAAAACCTAACCTTTAAATAATTAGCAAAATATAATCAGATAATATTGACCGAATAAAACTCACCCAATGATTGTGGAGATAACAAATGGCAGTGTACAGACGCTGATCCCGCGCTTTCGCCAAAAATAGTTATATTGTCGGTATCGCCTCCGAACGCGGATATGTTGTTCTTAACCCACTTAATAGCAAAAAGTTGGTCTTTAAGGCCCATATTGCCTGGACATTCATCAACGTCTAAGTTCAGAAATCCTGCGCATGAAACATAAGTATATATTCATATTGAATACGGCTTTTTGATGTTATGAATCATATGTATAAACATTTACAAGTTATAAACAATTATGTGCATTTTTTTTAACAGGTACGAAGTAAAATTATGTAGGTCATGCATATATTTAATCTTACCTAGGACATTCAAACGATAATTGATTGTGACTACGATCACATTTTCGTCGAGCAAATAATCAGGGCAGTACTGGTTTAGTGATGCGGATCCAAAGTTAAACGCTCCTCCGTGTATGAACAGCATAACAGCTAATTTTTCATTAAGTTCGTCCTACAGTTATCACACGTGGTGATAATAATAAATTCAAAATAAAACGGGCCACAATATAATTTGTAGATGACAGTATGTAAATTTTTAAAACCTGTGGGACGAATATGTTTAGGTACAAACAGTTTTCACTTCCAACGATCCTATTTGTTAATATGTCGAACTGCAGACATTTTTCCCCTTCCGAAAAAGCATTCAAGACACCAGACCATCCTGGGTGTTTGACAGGAGGCTAAAATAGAATAAAATACTTCTAATCTATTATATTAATATTATGAAACTGTACAATTTGAAGATATTGTAATGATATGCGCCTAAGAATTCATATATTTTTAAAAAAAATTGAATGTACAATTAAATAATTATAATAATCAGTACATATTAAATATAAGAATAAGTCATAAGTACTAAAGATAAAATATGACACACACATACACACGCAAACACACAGGCGACATTAAATATAGAGAGCAAAATTTTCAAACACATGGGAGACGCGTTCTTGTTATCCTTTTGTATAGACGGTCAAAGGCGAATGTAAAAGACTACGCAGATCGTCTATGCAGAAAAATATAATTAATTGTAAAACGATCTGTAAAAGTTTAAAATACGTATATTAATGTGTGTATAAGTAATTTAAATAAAATTAATGTAAGTGAGTTAAAAAAGAAAGTTATCGTCATTTTAAAATATAAATTGGTCACCTTATTCCATACCTGAAGAGTCAACTACGGTTGTCAAGAGGCAGACCGACAAAATCATCGGAGAGTAATAATAAAAATGTATAATATAATAAGTAATGATTTAAAAAAACAAATACATACTTTACTCATAAATTAACATATAAATACTTTAATTTTTAAATCATTACAATATAACAAAGAAATTAATTAAATTCTGTTTATTTCATTCAATCAAGTTGAATAATCTTTTTTTTACAGTTTTGTTTCCATAAAAATGTGTCTTGTTGTGTAAAAATTAAGTGTGCATATTAATTGAAAAAATTTTATTTCTTAATTAACTTATTAGATATTCAAAGAATTATATACGAGTAAGTAAAATTTGAAATCATTACCATATAACACTATTGTTTATCATTATAGTTATGTCATTAACATCATTGTTTTTTAGTTATTATTTATATTTATAAACTAGCTGACCCGACAGACTTCGTCCTGTCAAAAAGATTTGTAATGTGGCAGTTTTTGTGCCTACGTATTTTAAAAAATTCTCCTGAACAGAACCGTCACCCTGGTGATAGGGCGTTGTGAATAAAAAATAATTAAATAAAACAAATTAATTTTTATTTTTTATTTTTAAATTAACAATTAAAATAAATAATAAAAGTATGAGAATTGGATAAGAAGTTGCGAAGCCAATATAAATAAAAAAGGTATAATATAAGAAAATAGTATTTTTTTTTATTCTCATTTTTTTTATATATAATAGTTGAATACCTCCTGGGTGAAGCCGGGTAAACCAGCTAGTTTAATATGAACTTTATACCATAGCAATAAAGCTCAAATTGACTACGTTTTAGTTACAAATCATTTGTATTAGAAAAAGAAAAGGGCTATTTTTAAGGTTTTTCCAGCAATAATTCTAATTTTTCTCGCCGTAAAAACCATCCTTGAACTTCAACGAACATTTGAAAAAAAGATTTGGCCAAATTGGTCCAGGCGTTGTTGAGTTATGCGCTTACCAGCACATTTTGCGATTCATTTTTATATTATAGATTATAAAATTTTATTTGTAAAGAAATTAAAATGCATTTTTATGTTGTATAGTCGTTTCATTATTTAATAATAATTAATATTTTTATTATATTTTATATAAACTGTAGGGGTAGGTATCTGTTATAATAAGCTAATTAAAACTCATCAGAATACCTTAATTCAAATTTCTTTTATTTGTAAATCATAATTCCAATAATAATAATCGAGTATGAAAAATGCCAATAACATTTAACTATAAGTCAATACACACAAATAATTATTGATGACACTAAAGAGTAACCAATAACCAGTTTCATCAAAGGGCAAAGAATACAATAGCTTGGATACATCATGAGAAGGGGAGAAAGCGATACTGCTAAACTAGCACTAGAATGGAAACCACACGGAAAGAGACCCCGGGGAAGACCCAGGAAAAGATGGATCGATGTTGTCGAAGAAGATCTAAGAAATATGGGAATAGATGCACGGAGGGAAATGGTGCTTGACAGAGATAGGTGGCGCGAGGTTGTATTGGTGGCTAAGACTCTTAGAGAGTTGTAAAAACCAGAAGAAGAAGAAGAAAAAGAAGACACTAAAGAGTAAACTATTTACTTAGTAATACATTATTTCATATTTTATAACATTTTAGAGAGAGAAAATGTCAACGAAAAACAATGAATGTCAAGGATTAATTAAAAAAAGAACGACCTTATGATTATGGCTAGATAAATCTTGATTGAACACTACAAACTACGACGGTAGATACAAACGGGGATGGTAAATTAGGTTCCAAATACCCTTTTCTAGGTAAATTATTATTATTATCTCTTATCGACATTATAGCGTTAAATTCTGGGTTTTTTTTTTCTAATATGTTTTATAATTTTGTCTTGGTTAAAACTCCAATTTCTCCAGGAACACGTTCCAATTGCTTTATGGCATAATCAACTATTTCTAGGCTCTCGGTTACTACTATTTTAGAAGTTTCTAATTTTTAAATAGTATCAACTAAAAATACAAAATTATTTTAAATAAATGCTACATTTTTTTTGTAATTTTTTACATTTCATGAGTTTAATAGTTTTTTTATGGTAATTGCAGCATCACAATCTAAATTTAAAATAACGTTTTTAATATTTTCTAAGTTTTTCAAAGCTAAAATTAATTAAGAATTATTAATAAATTAATTGGGGCAAAATCGTTTGTCAAATATTGCTTTGTTTAACATCGAAAAGAACAATCTAACATCCTAGATATGGATAAAATCATAAATCAATTTACTAAAACCAAAGTAAAAGAAGTTAATTTATTTAATTAAATAATTATATTTAAAATTTTTAAGTGTTTTTTTTTTTTTAATTCTTCCTCAATTATTTTTGTAATTTTTTTTATTATTTATTATAGTTAAAATATGACCATAAGTCATGTACTAATAATTATTTTGCTGATAATAAAAAACAAAATATGTCAGCATTAGAAAAAAAAATTACTACAAATACTTAAGTGATTATAGAGCCCCAGGTTTACTGGCTGGTACCGAATTGGTTCCCGAGTTCCAAACTCACGTACCGAATTGGTTCCCGTCTGAAAAAGGTTTATTATTAACTTATTAGGTTTAACCGAATTGGTTCTCGTTTAATTACCCCCATTTTTCCTCTCAATTTTACTAGCTTTGGACTGACTGTCAACTTTAAAGTAGGCTTGGTTAATAATGTACCTTAATGTGTGTTAAAAAAAATGATAAAATATATACAATTTTAAATCGTTTATTTGGAAGTCAACTAGTTATCACTTAGGTGTACGAAATACTAATAATAAAATATAATAAATCAGTGGCGCACACAGGATTTTTTTTCGAGGATCAAGGTAAAAATATAACACATTTTACAATTAACAAAATTATGCAAATCCTTAATATATTTTGACTTAAATAATAATATTGATAGAATAGACTATTCTATAATCAATGATACTAGGTATTCAATACTCTTCATTTTTCAAACTTGTAAGATTTGTAAATTTTAACCTAGACATCGGAGAAAATTTCAGGGGGGGTTACAACCTCTTAACCCCCCCTGCGTGCGCCACTGTAATAAATACAATTTAAAACCACTGATTTGCAAATTTGAAGCTAACTTTCTTTAAATTTTCAATTCTCGTAATTTTCTCATTAATGTACTCAGTTACATAATTTTCCAAGTATTTGTTATTTCTTTCCTGTTTGCTAGAAATTTGCTAGTCTTTAGTAATCTATAGTCTATTATATTTCTATACTCTATCTTATCGATATAATAATTGTGTCTTTATGTCATACATATAGCTTTTAAAATTTTGTTTTTTGCTCTCTATGCACTGGCCTGCTGGATTTTAATTTTTAATAGTGTAGATAAATTGTGTTAAAAATTAAAATTGTCATTATTTTACCTATACACAAACGGGAACCAATTCGGTTATACCTAATAGAATACCTTTTTCAAACGGGAACCAATTCGGTTACTGCCGATTTACTTTGTCATCGGGGTTCAAAGATCCTAATTGCAACGATCAGCGAACTGATTGAGATCCAATTTACCTACTACCTTTTTTCCCCCCGGAACTCAATTTAATGCTTTCAAAATGTACACCAATTATCGCGGACTTAATTTACCTATCCCCGATACAAGAAACAACACAAGCCAATGAAGAGCAAAGCATATTATTGATCGAATGTTTTTAGAACTATTAAAATAGTTTCTAAGTTAATATTTAAAATGATGAAAAAATGGTGAAAGAAATATTTTCCAATTCGAAATTCATAAATCATTCAAAATTAATAAAGCAATTATTTCTAAATTATTATCGTGAAAATGCATACAAATTCAGTACTAAATATTTGACAAAAAAAAAAAAGATTATAATTTATATGTTGCGGTGATAAGGTAACTTTTTATACTACAAAATTGACATAAAACTTTTATTGAAAATTTAAAAATACTTAAACACTATTTTAAAATAGAAAAAATTTGTACTCGTTTTGTCCTTTTGGTATATAGAATTATACTAGTACTATGGTTTTACATATACTTTAGGGTTTAATTTAACTACATTTTCAAATTAAATGTTTGTTACAACATATAATTATAATAATAACATGGTATAGTGTAAAATAAATGGACGTGTTCCGAGGATTTTAGTAAAACAATTCTTTTTTGGTGTAAATACCCTATACTTATAAAGTCATAAAGTATTTATTTCTGATTTTACCTTAAATCGTAAATCGTCAATTGGTGGTTTAGCGTATGGTATGCCCAGAAAGCTGACATAAGGTTTGTACGACAATTTCGTATTGTATTGAAGTCCCTGCAGAGTACCTTGTTCTATGGTCACTTTCATTTTATTTCTAGGCTGGAAAATATGAAATAAAGAAAACCAATACAAACCGCTTAATTTTATCACGAAAATAATGCTACACATTCATTCACATGTAGAATTTATATGGTATTTAAAATATTATTTGTATACGAGCAAATTAAAAATCCACTTCACCGTGAGAAAGATTTATGTTTTTTTCCTAATAATTTATACACAAGTATGCAATATGTATCTAGAATTTATTAAACATTTTTTTGACGCACGCAAATCCGGGATATTCATAGAACGCGAGGTTTTACATTTAATGAACAAATGTTTGGATATTTCAGTATTAATCTAATATTTTTCCTCAAATAACACCCACTATTCCTCGTAATTACTCTTCATTGTTACCTTATTTTTCTCTTGACCTCTCGGGCTGGCTACCGTTTTACTCAGAAAATGCTTTATCTTTAAAGCGCCTTCCCAGTTTCATCGAGTCTCAACCTCTATTGATGTAAATGTATCTCTTAGGCGCAATAATCGTCACGCAGTACGACTCCTCTCGTCCTTTTCTTGTGCGTATCCAGAGCTTCAAAAGCCTTTCCAGATATGAACATTTAGCAAATGTATGAGACACTTTCTATTTCACGATTTCCTATCCTGTTCCCTCTATCATCGATCATATCGTCCTTTATTTAGTATTATCAGCAAAAGTTATTATCAAATCTATTACAATATAGTAAACCTCGCGAATGTCGGTTCCTATTTTTTTTTAATGTAATACAAAAAGGGTTGTGTCTTACAACATTCCTGGACAAAAATCCAATCAGCTTGTTGAACGCGATATTGGCTACGAAACCCAATCTGAAAAGTGCTCGCGACAATATTTCCGACATGATGTACCGTTTTTCGTTCAATTATTCATGCATTAACACGCATTATATTTTATAATTAAAAAATATTGAATACCCAAGCACTAGGTAGTATACTAAACCGGCGGTTACGGTAAAATGTATATTGCACAGAGACTAAAATACCATATATGTATATCACATACGTTACATAGTTGTTCGAAAGAGTGATTACAGAAAAAATATCTATGGATGACGTGGCTACAATTATTATTATCGTATAATTGTGTTTTAATATATTCAGCGATTTTGTTAAGAGCAATTAAAAAGTAATCAGAATTATAGGTCAACGAGTTGTTCAAAAGTACACGAATATAATTGCGTATTTACATAGAATATATGGGTAGATGGGATGTGGATACGTTACACACAACCGTATAATATTTATAATTATGTACACGTACAAGAATTGAGAATATTTATATTAATAATTATGAATAATAGAGTGGCCAACATTTCTAAAAAGGGGCTGTTTATTAATTTTTCATTATTTTTAAATTTAAAACAGATCACTGTACCGTCTCGAACTCTAATTTCCCCCATCATGTAGCTACCGATATGTAATTATTTCTCTCAGTTTTTCTCATTTAACTTTATGGATTTTTCAATGTGATTATTGATTATGCTATCGTATTTTTCCAACAATAATTCAAGTTCTAAAAAAATTCAATGATTATTAATTCGGTTCACTAGTGAATAAACACCTTCATTTTTCTTTTGTAAGAAAGCTGTAAAAAAATATATATATAATTTATAAATACGCAGCACACATATTTTTCATGCCTTTTAGACCAATTTGCGGTAGTCCTTCTTCTCTTTCTATTTCGCTTTTCTCCCAGCTATTTAAGATCATAATTATATAATCATAATTATATCATCTGATAACGTTTACTATAGTATGACAGATTTGATAATTACTTTTGCTGATAATACTAAATAAATGTATAGATATAAATAAAATAATATATATAATATAGATAAATAGATAGATATGATCGACGATAGAGGGGATAGAATAGGAAATCGTAAAATGGAAAGTGTCTCATACCTTTGTCCTAAACCTCCACTCATTTTGGTTTTTTACTTCCCTTACGCACACGCCAACGGCCCTCATATCATTCTTAATCGTATCCAACCATCTCCTTTTGGTAATATAATATCTATTGTACGTCGGTCGCGAATTGCGAATCGCGAATTCAACTTCAAAGTCAAAACTTATCGGACCCGCATTATTGTCTATTTAAAGAGACATTGAAATTTCAGATGATCGAATATTTGATACATTTGTTAACAGCGGAAAGGCTCAAAGGTTAACATTTTCACTTAAATTTTTTGTCATTTAATAATAAAATTAATTAAAAATGTTAAAAACTAATTTATATATTAATTGTATTATTAATTATATTTATTCATCATATTATATGTATATATCATATTTATATTCATGCTTATTAAGTAGGGGTTTGTTTTATTATATAAAATGTTAGTCTATTATATTATGTCCTATTAAAAAAAAAATCCATTGCTATTTTTATTTATTTATTTATTTTTTTTTTAATAAGTAATACGTGTAAAATAATTTATTTTATATTACTATGAAATATAATATCCAAAGCATTTAAAGTATACAAGAGTATTATTAAGTCAATTTATATTAATGTCACTGGTATATATGCATCCATGCGCAACATAAAATATTATCAAACACAATTAATACGATCATAGGTTTAATTTCGATATTGATCTCATTAATTTATTTTCATTTAATTGTTGAGTATTGAAAGAGTACTGAAATAAAAAAAATTAAAAAATTAAAAACATTGGATTCTTACTTTAAATCAAACGAAGTGAAGTCGCACTGGCACTAGGTCAGTAATATTATTACCTATATTCATTTATTACGTACGCATGGATTTCATTCAATTAAATCGGCAGGGCTTGAAAAAATTATAGTTATGATTAGTTATAGTGACAAATAGTTAACATTTGTAAACGTAATTAAAAAAGAAAATCGATTTTATCTATATTATTATAAAAATATAATTAAATATAAGTATGCTTTTAAGTAAATCTTGTGTATAAAAATATATGTTGTAGTCTCAAAAAATACCAATATCCTAAATTTATTAAATATAATATTCTTGTGATACCTAGTACATATTGTATTAAAATAATTATTATAAATCATTATAACAGAAACAGGAAAAGTAACTCAAAGTGATGTACCAACACAGTCTACATCAAAAACAATTTATCGTGTACCTCTAGCTGATTTTATAGCTAAGGGATGGGCAACTCAAAGTTACGAGAGAGCCAATTATTGGAAAATTAAAATCTAGCGGGCCAGAGCATAGAAAAAAAAGTCATTCAAAATTTTAATTAGCATTTATACATATATATACACAGAAATAATAAATTTAACACACACGACAGTACGATACGAATTATATGAAGAAACTGTTACAGTTAAATAGTTCCGTACGAACAGCTATGGTTGAAAGCTATACTTATACATACATATGACATTTAAACATTTAACGATGTTTAATACTAAATAATAATTATTATTTCAATGTCAGAGTGTCGACGATAAACTTTAAAATTGTATGATGTAATTTTAAAATACAGTACGGGCCAGATAAAAAAAGGCTCAAGGGCCGGATGCGGCCTGCGGGCTGCCAGTTGCCCACCCCTGTTTAGCTGATACTAGTAATTTCAAATCAAATAACATTGCATTTTTTATCAATAAAAGTTTACAAACTTCTGAAATTAGTGATATATTAATTAATCTTTGGAAACTAGATCCATTATTTGTATTTCCAACAAGTAAAAACTATTATAAAAGTAAAAAAAGGACAAACAATCAAATTTCAGTATAATTGGCTATTACGTTTTACCAACGCCTTGGCTATCTTATTCAAATAAGGAAGATGGAGCTTTTTTTAAGGTATGTGTTGCCTTTTCCAAATGTGGTGCTGGTGTTAATAATCAGTCTTGGAACGTTGACTAAACGCAAATTTGACAATTCAAAACATATAACAGAGACATTTAAAAAATATGCTCTTTTACAATACCATTTAAAATCTATAATGGATGCTGATAATTTTATTAAAACAGAACAATCCTTTCGAAGTTATTATAAACGTTTTAGACTCCTCGAGAACGAAACAAGTAATGGATAATCGGAAAAATGTCCATTACTTATTGAAAACAAGATGTTTGAAAAATATCCTAACCAATTATTAAAGCTATAATGATGTGTGGAAAACAAGACTTAGCCCTAAGAGGTCACAGAGACTCAGGTCAATTGGTTGTAGAAAAATCTGAAAGAACTAATGAAGCCAGTAAAGGAAATTTTCGTGAACTTTTACGATATAGAGTGCTGTATGTCTATATAAAATATAGACAGACTTACGGCATCCATTTTTTAACAAAGTTTGTAAAATAAATGAGAAAACGTGACGTTCTTAAATTGTGAATGATATTTTATTTGGCACATTTGCTGGAAATGCCTCCAATAGATATGGAACTGACAATGAAATAATCACTAAAAAATAATTAGAAGACATTTAAAAGCATAAAATACAACCGACAGTTTTAATTGTTGACATCAATTTGCCATTTTTAACCTCTCCTGACGGAGTATTAGATGATGAATCGTTAGTTGAAATAAAGTGCCCGGTTAGTGCTAAAAAGCTTGTACCATAAGATACGATAATAAAAGGAAAAATTAAATATTGCTCAATCGAGGAAGAGCAAATATTTTTAAAATGCAATGATAGGTAATTATTATTACCAAGTTCAGGGTCAAATGCACATTAGTCAAAAAAGTCAAAAAAATCATCGCTATTTTTATATATGGACTCCAAAAAGCAAGGGACATTATTTTATAAATTAAAAATAACATGCAAGCCAAAATTAAAATGATTTATTTTTAAAATGCAATCAAGGCGGAAATTCATCTTTCAGGCTTTTACATTAATTCATCAATTATTTGTTCTGTAGACAATGGAATATCTAGTTGTATGTTCATTAACGCCAATCCATTTAACCATGACTGCCCCGTCGTATTTCTTAAATACCTACATTTTTAAACGTTTAAGACTAAAAAAAAAGCCCATGGGGAGATATATCCCCCATCGTCCCCCCCTTGTGCACGCCACTGGGTATAGTAAGTATTAGTACTAATAAATATTAATAATGTCCTTCAATTATTGTCAATCAGCTGGCGATACTTGGTCATGTTCTAGAAATTGATTTATGATGGTCTATGTATAGACTATAACTATAGATATAACTATAGTTATATCTAGTTAAAAGTTTTGTAGTCTTAAAAAGTATTTATTAATTTTATTTTTTTATTTAGAACATATTACCATTGATTAAAAATACTTAATATAGGTACTTAAATATATTTAGTCAATGATATTACTGTATTATTTTTATTAGGTAGGTACTTAAAAATTAATATTATTATTGCGTCATCAAAACAGATGCACAGCTTGTACTAGTCGTGTAAATTAATACTTACTTATAAAAGTTTATTGCGAATGAATCTTTAGTAATCTAAAACTAATAAAAACAAGGTTAAGATCTAATTTAACACAGGAAAATTTGAGGTTTTTGCTTTTAGTGTATGTAGAAAAAGAGCCGTTAGATGAAATAGATGTGTTTGAAGTAGTAAAATATTTAAATGAGTCGCCTACTAATTTGAATTAATTTGTGTGCTATAGTAAAATTGTATTTGATAAAAAAATATAAATAAATTAGGGGTTTTTAAAAATTAACATAATGGCTGTAAAACCGACCAAAGTTGACTGGTATATTTTTTGAACATACAAAAAAATTTTTTAGGGCCGCTCAAATCTCCACCCGGGCCAAAGTACTCTCGTCTACCACTACTCCGATGATTCAGTGGAACATATTATGTACGTATATAACTCGATTATAATGAATATAATACACTAACACTAATTCAAATTGTAACACTAACTGTAAATCACTATTTCCCAGTACATTTATTTATCTATTTATTAATATGAATTGTTGCGAAACAATAATTTCTTCTTTTGATTTTTTTTTGAGAAAATGCTTACTTAAGATTTAAAATTTGATTACATCATCCTTTTTTACTGGTATTGATAATTTTAGATTTTCATAATTTATTTTCTGAATTTTATAATAAAATAAGATTCAAATAGTTTTTAAAATCTCTAAACTCAAAATTAAAGAACATATTCATGTTTTTTATCAAAATCCTATTAAATTGAATTATAATTTATTTATTTTTAACCAATTATTAAATGTTTTTTAAAAAAAAATATTTCATCAAAATTATAGCCTTTAAATTTGCCTCATATATTTTATAAAAATATCAATGTTACTACCAAAACTGAATTTTAATTTTAAGCTATTAATTCATAAATATTTTGTATATTTGATTAGTATTCTCATACAAAAAATAAATCAACATATTAAAAGTTAAGTTCTTTTTTTATACTTCTATTATAAACACAATTTTTTGAATAGCTATTGGAACTTGATTCACAATAAAACAAAGACATCAATAAAAGCAATTATTCAAGCTTTCAATGTAGGTATTTGTACATAATTTAACATAAAGAAAAAAAAAAAAAAAACTATAAATAAATAATTATAAGTTCATTTTTTTCTTTTTTGTAGTATTAGTTTTTGTTATTAACGAATAGTGAGTTGTATTAGTCACTTATCTTATTATTCTTATCCACTTACTCTGTTAACATAAATATTAATTTAATAAGATCTTTATGGTAACATTATTAAATTATCACATATCTTGTATTAATCGTGTTTCACACATTCTCAACAACATATTAACATAACAAACATAGCTGTTATCCGAAGTTAAAATATGTCTGTACAAACATAATTGATAAAAAAAAATTACTAGTTCATTTGATGTTATTATTCGATTCACATATAAAAATTAACAACGAAAACAATAATAAATAATAAATAAACATGCTTATACAATTCACATTGATGATAAATAAAAATAATTCACACAAACAATACATTTGTGGAAACAAAATTATAATACAATACACAGCACTTAAGATGTGAGAAATTTAAACAATATACGCGACACATAGTCTATTAACAAATTACAAAATAATGTAAGACCATATTTATTTTACCATTACTGCTTATTAGTTTTTTTTGTAAAACTCACAATATTTATTTTTAAAATAACATGAAAATATAATTGATAAAATTAACAGAAATCACGTTTAGGATAGACTGACAGTAACATAATATTAAGCGTATAGTAAAATATAATAATTATAAGGTTATTAACAAAAACTAATGACATTGGTAATTTACATGAAATTAAAACTAATTTTACGTGCTAGCATAATTTCTATATATGACTTGCGTTTGCTTTAACACTATTTTGCAGAATCATTTAAATTATAATTATAACTTATTGTTTTTGAGACTAGCAAAATATAGATAAGAAAACAATTCTTAATCACAGTTATAACTAAAAAAATAAGTTTTAATAAATGAAGAAAATAATAACTAGGTTACAAAATATAAAAAAAATTAAACAATAAAAACCATACAAATGCATTTTGTAGTAAGAACATGTGAAAAAAGGTTAACATTTTTCAAATATTAAGTGATGTTAAGTATAAATAAATGGTGTTATACCATAATAGCTTTTATGTATGCATTTATCGTAAACTTCATACTAATAAAAGTTCTATTTGTGAATGTGTTATGTGTGTAAGTGGATTGTGATGAAATGAAATCTTCAATGTATTAAAATATTTAAATTTAAATAATATTATTTTTACTTCAACCGGATTCACTTTTTTCTTCCTGATACAATTGGTAACATTTTGAACACAGTTGTTTGGTCGCAGAAGAACCAAAGAACTCACAATCGTCAGTACGACACTTATCCACCAATGGACCAGTATCATAAAATGTGGATTTTGATAGGTACATTGTTGTATCATCATTTGTAACTGCCTTGATGGGAGTCATTAAACCAACTTTAACATGAGACTCAGAATCTGCTTCTGTGTAAAATCGAGATTTACCAGCATTATAACGAGGTGTTGTGTCCGCCTATAACATAAAAAATACATTTGTAGCAATACAATTTTTAGCAAGCTAAATATTTTTTTTTTTTGCGCATTCTTGATTTTAGTAATGTAGTAAGTTAATATTATACTATTTTATTATATGACTATTTATTTTAAATAACAAGTATAGTATTTATTTAACCACTCATAAGTCATAGATAAATTAATTAAATGATACATTTACTAACACATAATAAATACATATGACAAATAACATAGTAAGAAGTCATATTCGTAATATTTGTTACCTATATCAAATACAGTAAAGAATGACTGTGTAAATATTTATATCATAATATTATTCAACTAATATAAATATCTAAATTTAAAATTTACTCATATTATTAACTGAGAATGTATGCTTAATCTGTACTACCATAAAAGCTTTACTTTTTTCACCAACATTATTTCTGCAATACTTTTAATATTTAGTAGTCTTAACTTTAATTATGATTTATATATTTTCTAGTTTTTAAATTATATCAAAAATAATTATAGAATATATATTCTGTTTTCCGAGAGAATGCAACTCGTTCTATCTGCTGTCAAGAAAATCTAATTTCCCTTACTATGCAGCTATCAATATGTGAACACGCTAAGCAATTGCGATGAAAATAGACAAGTTTTGGTCGCCGCCCAGTTGCATTCTCTCTGCAAACCAAATAAAAATAAAACTATAAGGAAATTTGCTTCTATTATACACTGAGTATCAAATGTTTAACCATAAACTAAAATTTTAAAGAAACTTAAATTGTCTAAAATCAGTAATAAGCATTTTACCCAATAAATCAAATTCATTATATAGTAAATCGTTCATTAATGTTACCAATATGAAAATCAACCAATATACAATATTGTTTAACACAATAACTGAACCATTAATCGAAGATAACATTTTAGACTAGTCTACGCCCATATCAAATAAACTGTAACTAAAAGGAGAAACTTTTGAAGCTCACCTAAAACATTATATGAATATATTTAGCATGACTGTAACTAATTCATAGTATGTAAAATATGGTGACAAATACTGACAAAATGACTATTATGTAATCATATACTTGAAACTAACTACTGAGGTTGACCAATCCATTAAGATCTCCGAAAGTTCAGTAATTTAGTTGAATTATGACAGTCAAAACTATATTTCCATATTACTTGTTTGTACAAAATTCAATATTATTTTCTTAAATATAAATAAACTTCAAATTAAATTCAGAATGTAAACTTCTCATCTTTAATGAACATATTTAATAATATATCTATTCAGTACTCACATAAGGTGAAAGTTGAAATCGTTCAGCGGCTGTCCTTAAGTAGTTTTTAATCATTACATCATGGTATTCATGTTTTTTGTCAGAGTTAATAAGGGCACATAACGTATACTTTGGTGTTGGGGGCGATATCGCCGAGAGATTTTTTACAGAATTTGTCCTGGATAATTTAGACTTAAATTTATTACCCACAGAACGGCCAAGACTCCCAAAAAGACCATTTTTACCGGTTCCATCATTATTACCCTAAAACAAATGAGGATATTTTTCATCCATTCATACAATTATTTATTAGGTTAAAAATACTTGTGGATCAAGTTTCACTATGTCCAAGTAACTATTTAATAATGATAATGAATCTGTTACTGACAGTTCTTGATTTTTATCTGGAGATTGATCATTTTCTCCAGGATCAACAGGAAACTGTATTGGTAAAAGTTCACCATTTGAATCCACTAAAGGTATAGCACCTAAAACCATTAATTGACAACCACAATTGATAAATATTTAAAATTTTATTATAAAAAAAAGACATACATGAAAGTGTAGAATTTGGTGTTTCCATTGCTACTAAGGCTGAAAAATGACCTCCATCATATGCCAATAATAAGGGGGAGTGATGACAATCACATGGATAACATTCCAATGGTAAATAAATACCTCCAAATTGTATAGGAGCTAATGCTTCACCATTCATATCCTTAAGATAATATTAATTTAATTTTTTCAAATATTATTAAAACTATATATATATATATATGTAGCTATATTAAATATAGAAAATAAACATACTTTAAGTATAGTATCTGCTATGACAATAATTGGTCTTTTTAAAACATGCGCTAAAGCATAAACATGAATTTCCTCTAGGCTCTCATAAATGTATCCTTCAGTATCCCCATTTCCACTATAATTCAAATTATGTATTAATGACAATATAAAAAAATATAAAAAAAATGAATAAACGTGGTAACAAACCTAGATATACTTTGTTTCCTCATACGAGGGACAGTGGAAGCCATGTTTACAATTGCATTCCATTCCCTACGCCATTCTTGTTCTGTATAAACTAAACCAAATAAAGAATTCATAATAGTTTGTTGACGTTGCCAACGCCGCCAAAGCGAATGACGAGCAGGACCATTACTGAGAAATGAATGTAAAGCACGTCTCAAATTTAATAAACGATCATGGAATCCCCAAATACCTATAAAAATATTGAAAGAATCCATAATTTATATATGATCAATAGCTAAAAAAAATATTTTTTAAAAAGTAAGTTTTTTAAAAATCAAATTTAAATAATTTATGGGAAATGTTAATCAACATATATATAACATAACTTTTTTATTTTACAAACAATTATCAACTATTAAAAATATTTATTTAAAAATTATGTATAAAATATTGTTATACTCTTTTTAGATTGTATAAATTATTGGAGTTGAATTTTAGGGATTTATAATATAATGTCCAATGAGGACCAATTTTCAATTTTTCTAACAAATATTGACTGCTTTGGTTTTGCATTATTACAAATATTTTGATAATGTATTAATAAATTTAAGGGTATGATATTATGGTACTCAAATACCTTGAAAATAATGAAATTGGAGTCATACATTTAGAATTTGAAGAAAAATTAAGTAAAATATTAGAATTATAAGTAATTACTGAAAAATTGATTTTCTTAAATTAACATTATATTACTTTTAAAACATTAATTTAATATAACCAACCCAATGAAGCAGCATGTAAAAGACAATTGCCATCGCCAGATGTAGAAAGAGGCCAAAGCCTTTGACAAAATCCAGTCCACCAATTTAATCTTGAAGCTTGTTCAAGAGAACTTTGCATTGCCACAGCTATCAAGTCTTTTTCAATAAACATACGAAAGTTTTCTACAAAATAAGTCACATTATATTATTTATATTATTTCAAAAGGAAAGTTCATTATGAGGATTACTGAACTTATAACATATTTTAAACTTTACCTTCAAGTTGTGATAAATCTGGTAAAATAAAGGTATACACAGGAGTTTCCACAATTTGTAATTCATCTTCAGTACTATCAATAAATATTAATTCCGATCTTGCTTGGGAAACTATGTTCACATTATCAGTGGCATGCGATATACCTCTTTTAAGTGTTTTATCTAAAAATAAATAAATAAATAAACTACTAACTACTTACAAACATACAATGTGCATAAAAAATTGAATCGTTTGAATAACAATTTTCAAATCATACATAATTACAGTTAAATGATTAGAAAAGTATATAAAATTAAGTTTTTAATTTTTTTTATAATTTACATTAAATGTAAGAAACTGTAACTGTTCACAGAAATAACTGAGCTCCTCTCTAAAATCTCATATTATATTGACTATGCAATTTAAAAATATAATATATAAAGTATACTTAAATGTTGTCAGATGTATCGTATTTGTCATAAATTTCAAATTTCCAAATAAAAACAGTAACTATAAATTATTGACCCATTTCTTTTAATGTATAACTAAAGTATATGTTTGATAACAATTTTATAAAACTTATGCTTTTAAACTGGTACAATATAAATGAATATCAATGGTTGAACACCTAAATTTTCACTTTTATACCTCTAAATTATTTATTCCTTGGAACTTTCCATCCCATAAAAATGTTGATAATCACTGACAAGAACACATTGTGTAATAAAAAAAAAAAAAAAATTGCTTATTTATGAAAAAAAAAAAAAACATAATCTGAAATACTTACATGCATTTGCATCAAATGGTTCATCTTGATTTTTAGGCGGAGTTGTTCCAGTCAATGGTATTAATATAGAATTTTGGGATATTGAAGTTGTCTCATCCATGAAAGGGACTGCTGTAACGTTACCGTTTTCAAGATCCTCAAAATTGTTACTGTTGTGGCCATATAACCCAGATTCAGGTTGGTCGTAATGGCTAGAGCTTTTTCGCTCCACCCTGACCAATAGTGCATTGCTTTCCTCCACGTTGGTAGCTATTCTAAAAAATTAATACATCACAAAGAAGATTAAAATATAATATATTTAAAATCACTTTACTGAATTTAAATGTATAAACTATAATCATAATACATTGAACATTTTAGATTGAGTTAATGATAAAAATAAAACAAGATATAGTCTGATAATAATATTCACTATATATAATTGGGAAAATTTTTTTTTTATAATAATCAAATTTAATAAAAAAGAAACAAAATAATATTTAAGAATATAATATCTAAAGTTTTAATTAATATAAAAATAATGAAATTGAAGTACTTATGCAATTAAAATGAGTATTAAAAATAGATAACTAAATTCATTGACCATTTGTCAATTAAATGAGACAGTGCGAGTATACAATAAACTTAATATGATCATATATACATACATATTAGTATTTGATATTCAATATTGACATTCTGAGGTAATTATAACAAAAATAAATAAGAGTATTCAGTATACTTCACATGGATGTAGACTAAACACACACATTGGTACTTGGTAATTGAAGAGCTACGGCAAAAATTGATAATAGTCAAAAAAAGAAAAAAAATCTGATAATTATATCTTGTCAATTATTTTAAAAAGTTAATTTAATTTTTTTCTATTTATTTTATCAAAAATAAGTAGTTAGTAACAAATTACATTTTTCTGAATTATTTTGTACTTTATTTCTTAGTTTTTTAAATTCTGAAACTTAAAAACTGCAATACTAAGCAGTTTAGGAATATTGATTATTATCGTTTTTCTCCGAAGCCCTTTAGTTATTATAAACGTTCTTTTGTATTATTTACAGAAATCAATCGTAATGAATATGATATTACTATTAAAAATATGTTTACGAGTAGCGTTTGATTATATTTTATAAGCGAAAGTGATTCTCTTATCGTCGTTTTCATAACAGGTATCTATGTAAATTCAGATGAAAATCGGAACGGAAAATCAGTGGCGCGAATGAAAGTATTAAAAATTACTCAGTAGTCTGGTACGCGCGAATGTGATAAACGAATAAATAAACTACCGCGAGAATGTGTGGAACTGATAATAGTATTACGCTGTCGAATTTTTTGAGAACGTCGCGTTGGAGGATCGGTCGCATGATAATCGACTGTAATGAAGTATCAAAATAATAATCAACAGCAGTTAACTTCGGTTGAGTAACCATCCCGGTTTGTATGCGCACTTTAAACTCATAATCAAGAGACTCGTCGCTAATATCGGCAACAAAAAATTACATTATGGCTCTATCCGTAGTATATGATTTAAGGTATTATCATAGATTACATTTCGGAATCTGTGATATGAAAAATCCGTCACGCGACGGTTACTACCTTGTATGAATGATTTGGAAAACCGTTCAGAAAACAAAACGATACGTCCGACGTCGCAAGTGTGAAAAACGAAAAAGCCCTAAGATCAAATCCTACATACGGCGATAGTCCCTTCACGTCTTGATCGAGCGCAATCAACAGTAATGGCGGGGTGTACAATGTATCATAATTTACTCACACATCAGGGGAGAGGGATGATATATATTTGGACGGCGAAACGCATATGAAACGGTCGACGCGCTACACAATACTGAGTCGCAATGCAAAGTTTACGGCGCACGCGAGAGAGCGGTTTCCGTTACGGCGGGCGTTTCGCGATCTCAAGGTAAAACGTGCGTATAAATAACGAAAAACCGAAACATTACGTTGCGGAAACAAGCACTCGCTAAATTTTCACGGCAACTCGCCGTGATAACAACGGTCGTAGATGAGTAAGTTATCCACTAATAATACAACTCGAGTGAAGACCGCAGCGATTCTGATTAACGAGGCGCACGTGATGGTTTTATTACTAATAATATTGTTAAAACTATAATTTATTATGATGGTTACTTTTGCGACGAATCGTTTAGGGTGTGTGTGCGCGCGCGGTCCGTGTCCGTTGGCCGCTGTCGCAGTGTCGCACTGTCCCAGTCGTTTCGTCGTTGCTGGCTCGTCGCAGCACGCGCGTTTTCGCCTGTTAGCCTTTAGGAAATTAGTACTGGGCGTTTCGTTGAACGTTATCAAAAAATATAAAATACGACCGTGGAAATAAAAAAAAAAAAAGGTTAAACGTCGACCCCTCTCCTGCCCCGCTCATAATTTGACTCGTCTCTTCCAAGACGGTGGCAACGTCGGTGATTTCTTATTTTCTCCCACACGCGTTTCCCCCCAAACGTGAACTGCTTATCGGAGATAAATAACATTGAAAACCAACATGGTCCAAGAATAGAGATTAGACAGGATGTGTAGTGCATTGTGCACGCGTAACGAAAATCAAAATGCACGCACGTGGGCGAATTTAAAACGTAAAAATGCGTAGGAATGCTTAGAAGTACAATCTACATAAATGCACGTACAATTGTGTTGCATACGTTTGTACATACGCGCGTATCAACTGTGACGATGGATGTGTAGTTCATGAGCTAGTCAACTCAATGAGTTGATTCTTTAAAATAAACTGTGGTTGTTGAATGAGTGAATCGGCGATTTAGTGACTCAGTTCAACCAACTTATCAAATTCAATTCATGAATCATTTATCATTAACCCCACTAACTGAACTTGTACACGACTCTCGAGTGTTGTTGATAGCCACAGGTAAATGTTTGTATAACTGTGTTGATATCAGATTCCAAATCCAAACGTTTACTTATTATATTATTAGGTACTCGTGTAGTACCTAATAATGGGTACAATGTTTTTAAATCATATTATACATTTCAAACATGATTTTCGAATACAAATCGATGAATAAGTCTTATAATCATGGGCGCAACTAGAGCGCAAATATTGGGGCTGCTGAAATTGCCAAAAATAAATTGAATGGTACTTCATTGTAATTACTATAGATTATATAGATCTGAAAAAAAAAACAAGAATGTTACATTTGAACTCAGGGGTGCTATAAACCCTGTTGCGCCCCCCTAATTGCTTATATTTTTTTGAGATTGCGAAAGGCCGATAAGAGATTCAAGTGAACAATAAAATATGACCTATGGACTTGCGAGTCAACTTGAGATTCCGAATTCCGAAAGTTGGGAATTGACATATAAGATTTGATTTAGATTCACACAAAAGAGTTGGGGGGTGGGGTTGAAAGTCGATTCACTGATTCAACTCATTAAACTAAACCGAGTTGAAAGATTCGATTTACCAAAATGAGTTGAAATTCCCAAACCTAATTGAAACTCAATGAATGCCTTATTATTATTCAGTTCAGTATTGTACTCGTATGCCGTAACGCCGCCCAGTGTGCACGTGACTGTGTTGTTTTTACTTTATAAGACTTCGTATTATAGTCGTTGCAGTGCTGTTTAGACTATGGATGAACGGGTACGTTGTTTTTATGGTTCCACCGCGTGAACGTCGCACGCGCGCACTGTGTACCGCGTTGGCCTAGGCTGCCAAACCGACGGTCGATCTCTGTAAACAATACATGCTCTACTGTACTGCGGTATTATGTTCGCGCTAATTCGGCCATGGCAACGAATCCGTGCGGTTTCGTGTGTATTTTTTCGTGTGCAGTGTCAATATTATGGTTACCAAGGACTTGAGGCGTTCTAATTCAATCGCAAAAACCCTGTAGAAAATAAAATAACTCATAGACATTTCCATCGGTGCCAATAGATAACCCTTTTAGACTAATGCAAAACAAATTTCGTATAATTTTATACTAATTTCATATCCCAGTATTAATAATAATATTAATAATAATAATAATAATAATAATAATAATAATACATATTTGTTTAATTGCAAATTCAAATTGTTTTTCCGTGGCGGGTGAGGGCAAACACATTTTTAATTTCAAATGTTGTTGTATAAATAATTAATTTATACAATCCCATTGAAATGTTTAATAAACTCGTTATCTTGGTTAGGATTTTTTTTCAAAAAAATATTTCCGGGACAAGATAATGTAGTTTTCTACGTCATTGACGATTATTATTGCGTAACCGTCATAATTTATGCACAAATAATAACCCAGTTTGCACATGTGACTGGTTACCTAAAAAAAATTATGGTTCATTTAGCAAAAAACATACTTCATCTTGACCAGCCAAACTACCATTTTAGATGATAAATTGATTATGCTCAGTCTTATAATTTCGTTTTTAATTGCCAATGTATATTGTTGACAGTTATAGTTTTAAGTTTTAAATTGAATACATATTTTTATATGTACTTGGTATTTGGCAAGTACATATGTCGAAGTACTTTTATCATGAAAATAATTAGATATAATGTAATTGCGTTGAATATTGATTTTATAATGTATAATATTATAGTAATTCACATATTACTAATATAAAACAATAATGTAATACGCACAAATCTGATGATATGTAATATGCCATACATTACTAATAAAAATGTGCATGAGAAAACGTATTTGCAGCGCTTCACATAATTAAAAAGATAATAACTTATATATATATTAAGTTTATGTAGTATAAATTCTCAGAAAATTACATTATACACGTGCGAACTTAGTTTCTACTAATGTATTTACTATATTCACTTTCAACAACAAAATAAGTAATCAAAAACGGAGCGACAAATGCACAAACATTACACTTGCATGGGGTCAGCTATAGAAGGACATCCACCAACATATATAAGGGCTTCAGATGGGCACTAAATTTAGATGTATTCATCCATTCAGTACGGAAGCTCTGCTTATATCAGTCATCGTCATAATTGGAACTCCGTTGATTTTTCTAAGTGTTAAAATATATTACCAACATTAACGTAAAAAATAGCCTTTATATGTATATTTATTGAACTTGTATCAGTCTGGGACACATCATATCTGCCTGTGTGTCACGGTTTTCATCGTTTAAAACTAGTGATGGGCACTATCGAACAATTAGTAGATACTATCAAATACTATTCGATAGTAAGCATTAACTATTGAATATTATATTAAAATGTTATCTTGTATGTTTGAATAAAAACTATTCGAATACACAGAATATAAACTACAAAATACCTATTAAAAACTATTCGAATAGACCGTCCTTTAACAGTAGTTGCACTCCAAAGTCGAAACGTTGAATTATCGTTAGATTAAGCATTGAGTCACATACTCACATAATAATACTTTATTTTGATTTGTATTTAAGCTAACATAAGATTTTACTGAATAATTCAAAACTATCCAAACAGTCCGAATAGTCTATAATTAAAGAATCACTATGTAAGATGTATCATGTAAATGCTGTACAGAGAATTATATTATTGATATAAAAGAATTGCTTTGCAAAAAAAACGAATTTCTAAACGATTTCAGTTACTTATGCAAAAAAAGTTGGCACGGGACCGTAATTAAAAAAAAACAAAAACTCACGTTACGAAAATTATATTTATATATACATATTATTGTTAGCAACATAAAGTCACAAATATAAAACGTGTTTGTTCAATATCAGTTCGGCAGGTTAAATATAACTTATCTTTGTATAAAATCATTATTTACGTAATAAGTTACGGTGGAATTAAATGTTGTTTAATGCCTAATGTCCCAAACTCTGGTTAGATAATTTTGTGGAAAATGATTTACATTGAGGTAGTGAAGTGCTTAAATGAGTTTTGATTGCATAACAAAACTAAATAAGCCAAATTTAGTGTTTCTAATTAAACCAAATTATTTTGATAAGTCTTGATAATTTCTGTCGCGTACAATCCAATTTACAATACGATTTTATCGTAAATTTTATTAACTTAAAGATTATAGATCTCGTATAACATTTGAAAATTAGAATTTTGATGGTTTTAAAATTTAAATTATTTATGTAAGAAACATTTAAAAAATATATGTTTGCGTTAAAAACATACTAATAACATATTATATAATATTTTGAGTAAAATTCAAAATAATCAGTATTATTCTTATACTTCGATTTTCAAATAACAGATGTGGTTAAAATACTTGTTAAATATTTTTTTTCTTAAATTTAGCGGTTCGACTACTCAACGTAAAATTCCAAAAAATTATTAAATATGTTTTTATAGAATAAAAGTGGTTTATAAATTATATAATGCACAACCTTAAACCCCAACAAAAGATATTTTCTTGTTTGTGCCTGATATCATAGATCAGCGTTTCTTAAACTTTTTTATTCGTGAAATCCTTTTTGATATCCACATTTACTGTGGAACCCCTATTTTTTTTTTTAGCTTTTTTCAAGATTATTTGTAAATAATAAATTATAATCATATAATATTATTGTGTTAAAGGTATTTAATTCAAAAAATATGTTATATTTTTATAATAATTATATTAAAAATTAAAATAATAATTATATACATATATTATAATACTTTAATAATAATTACTTTAATTAGACTAAATATAAATTTAAACTATTCTATATGGCTTATACATTTTTATTTAATATACTAAGAATTTCTTTTTTTTATATAATGCAAACAGTTTTTCACCATTATTAATCATTAGCTGGAAATTTTAAAGTAATTTTTTTAAAAATTTTTAAAAAATTATTTAAGATTCGCGGAACCCTGACGTGATCTTTTTGGGGCTGGAACCCGATTGAGCACGGTTGCAATCAAACAATAGGAACCAAAAAAGAACCCAAAAACCACACGATTAAGCACGAAAATGGGTGCGACGTTGCCGCTTTGTACCGTAGAATATTATTCGGGTGCACCGTATTACTGTGCATTCAAGATTTTTTTATAATTATTATGTAATTCAATTTTAGATTTAACGATTATTTCATAATTTAAAATATTTATGGTTCAGGTTTTCTAAAAGAAATAACTCTCCCATAAAAAAACGACAAGACACCTTTTTTTTCAAATTTTTTATGATGTTGGTGTATAGAGCTAGGTGCGTCGTCCATATTATTATTACAAAATAAAATATATTTGAGTATAATTATTTATAATTAAAAATCTTTTATTGAATTTTAATCACATGTTATAATTACATTTTTTTTTTTTTTTGCTAAAAGTTAACACTCATACAATTGTCATAAAAAAGGTAAAAAGGTCGGCCGATAACAACCGTGCTCAATCGGGTATCACCACTTTGCTGAACCCCAGGGTTCCGCGGAACACAGTTTAAGAAAGCCGCTCGCCTATGCCGCGTGTGTGTGGACGTATTTTCGGTAAAGCCGCGCGGCATCAGTACTTACTTTTTAATTAGGTATTTAAATTATTTTTTAAATAATTAGCAACAAAACAAACTTTTTCACTGAGGTAAAACTGATTTTTGTAGTAATCTCCAGAAGACACAATTTTTATTATATCAAAATGTCGATACTGAAGATTCTGTGTTTTTAAAAATACAAAGATCAATAATGATTTTTCAAAAATCTTTAATTTCATATTTTTTAAGATTTAAAAATATAGATTACTTGCTGATCTCGTGCACTTCGTTGCCCATTAAAAATGACACAACTCTATAGTAATTATGAATAGTATAATATTATTATTAACTGATTTAATACAAATTGGGAAATAAATGTCGCATCGTGTGGACGCGTATTTGCTGCGTGGAAAAAGCTACTCCGTCTGGACGCGGCTTAAGAACTGTCGATAGCATATTATGACTATCGGTAGGTTAAAAATATATTGATTTTTATCGTTGTTATGCTATTGGAAATAAGTAGAATGAAAATGTGTAGGATTAAAATATAAGAATGTAATATAATAATAATTAATATAATATAATAATATAATATTGTAATATAATAATTTAAATAAATAATAATAATAAAAAAAAAAAAAAAAATTATAAATATAAAATCAAAAGGTTTTGGCAAAAACTTAATTATAATCAAGACGGATTAATTAGCCACTTTCATATTTTGTTATATTTTGTCTTAAATAATCTTTTTCACATATCATCCGTCTGTTTTTAATTATACGAACATTTTGTTGTTTAGTATAAGTTTCTTTATGTATATTTTTCAAAACATTTATAAATTGGAATATTTTCAGGTGTGCTGAGTAAAACATACTATTAAACTTGGAGTGGAAGGATACACAATTATTCGTAGTTCGAATTATAGAATATGAATACTTTGCCCCCACAGAAAGTGAGTGGTCACAATCGTGCTTAATGTATGCATTCATTATTTAATCGGAAAATGCTGTACTTTTTCATCTTCGGGTAAAATTGATACAATATCGTCAGTAAAGTAACCCTCTACTTCATCTGGTTTTAACAATGAAAGGCCAAAAAAATAATTTCTTGTAGTAATTTAAATAAAACCTGATGCAATTCGTGTACCCACTTATTAAAAAAAAATTTTGGGACATAATTCATGTGTATCCGACTTTATGTATACTTGATGATGGATTTTTAATTTGAAACTGATTGTACTTTAAAAATATAATAATACTCTAGGCTAAGCCTTTATTTATTTATATATATATATATATATATATATATATATATAAACTATATGTTTATTTATTTTAAAATTGTTAATATATTATTTTTTTATGCTATTATAACTATTGCAATAAAAACCTAAAACTTATATTTAAATTAAAAATTAAACGAATTATAAAGTACTAATGATGTATAAGTTGACGAATGTGGTATGGTATACTATATAAGGAGTATAGTTGTATGATGTCATAGGTATATGGTGGGCGCGCGCAGCGTTGGTACACCACTACAACTTAATAAGTAATAATAGGTTTTGGTGTTATTTTTTTAGAAAGTTTTATTCAATGCTTTATTTATTTTATTGTATATTAACCAAGGTAAATTGTTTATATTTTTAAAATGTTTTGGTTTTTAGTTATATTGTTTGTGTGTTTGTTCGATGTATTTCAGTATTACCTACATCGATTACTTAGTTCAAAATCATTCGTGTGTAGAAATATTTCTTTCATTGACTTGACGATTGAAAAATATTTTTTTGTCTTATTAGATAGCTAAAAAACTACTTATAATTTGTATAATTTTCATATAGTTTCTTGTTTCTAGGACCTAAAAACTAAAAGTTATAAAGCAATTATACCTGCTATTCATGATTGCCGCTCCATTACATCTTTGTCCAGTTAAATAATTTGTGTTTAGTCCGAAGTCTGTCATACTTTTCAATATAATATCAGTAAATCTATGTCTTAAACATATTTTTTATCGATACATCATGATTGCGCAATTTTTCCTTTTTTGACCCGACTAATTACACCACGATTAAGCAAAAAAATTGCACCCCGATCCCTTTTTACCTGATAAAATTACAACAAGATTGCGCACTAAATAATATGTACATATACTATGTATAATATAAAATAATGTATAGGTACAATGCATACTTTCAACATATAATTTTAATATACATGCGCTTAAACTTATTACCTATTAATTCATAATTTTTCTTCCCAATCATTCAGGCTTAGGACTATCAACAAATGATCATCGTTGGCTTGGTTAAAAATTGTTTTTTTTTTCTAAATTACATGTATGCTAAATGTATATACTAACATGGTCAATAGTAGAAATATTTTTTATTAAAAATTATTTTTTTTCTTAACTGATAGTCATTAGTCTATATTATAATTATAACTATCATTAGCTTAATCAACTTTTCATTTCGATTTGTAAAAGTGCATTTTGTGAATCAATAGTCTTAGTACATGTATATGCAAATAATAGAAAATATGTATTGTATACATTATTGTATGTTGTATATAAATTATTTTACATAGTATATACACATAATTTGGTGCGCAATTGTGTTTTGATTGTATCAGATAAAAAGGGATCGGGGCGCAATCGTGTTACAAATTTTTTGCGCAATCGTGTAATTAGTCGGGTCCAAAAAGAAAAAAATCGCACAATCGTGCATCAGCCATTTTGTATTTCAATCAATTTTAAAATGTCTTTTCTAATTTTTTTTTAAATCGATATAGGTAATAAACATTAAATGTAATATGTTTTTTGTTTGAAACATCTGTCGTTTCATCGGGCGATACCCGTGTCGACCAAAGCCATTTTAGTCGTATTCTAATTCAGTTGGCAATAGTTTTTAAAAAATACAATACATACTATACTATTATTAATTTTTATTATTATTATTTTAACTATTTTTAAAAAAAAGTCATAAGAAAAGTTTTTATAAAATACATATTTAATTATACAATATTACAGTTAGTGTTTTGGATGATACTGATACTGATTATTTTACAGTGATCCTTTTTTTGCATTTTGGATATATTCCCCTCATCCCCCCTTAATTACGCCCCTGACGCGATGTAGTAATGGTATTGTTCTGTGGTAGTGACGGTGGTATTTGATTATAATATTATTACCCTCCAAAACTTATAAAATAGATTGCGGGGCGAGCTATAGTACAACTTACACGATGATCAGTTCTCTTATCTTATCACACAAGTATTTGTTGTTATTTTGTATAATCATTTATGGCGGTTTTTGTTAGACCTGATAACGTTACAGAATAACGTTAGCGTTAGCCATTTGCGTTTTGTTTGATAAAAAAAAAAAAATAACCAGACTTCAAAATTTTGTTTGAAATTTTTGCTTTCAAATGTTAACGATCGTTATCTAATTTTGTTACATTACATCGCTTTTTTTTTTACCAACAAACAGGTATGGTCATATGACAGCCATGTATAACGTATTATTCTTTTTTTGATTAAAATCAATCTGTTCTTTTCTAGAATCATAACAACCAAAGGCTGTTTACAGTTTTACCCTAGTCATTCTCCAAGTACACTTTTTATAAAATAGCATGTTGAAATCTTCTAATTTGTTACTGATTTTAATAGTTTGCCTTGTTCTGAACTTGATTGATTTTAATTACAATTTTTCCTGGTACAATTTGCTTCATTAATCTATATACTCTTAATAAGTTGAATAAATTAAATTCTTTAAGTGAAATGTATATGGAGACAAACCTCCATAAAAATACTGATATTGAATACCGAGTACTTGTGTAATGAAGCATCTATGTATTTATTCGATGGTTTAGTTAATGTTTATTATTCAATATAGGAATTAAAAAATATTACAATTAGGTTCTTAATAATCTTATACTTGTAAATACTTCACAAATATATTAATAAATAATTATAAATTTTTAATTTTTAGGATAGCTGGATGTATTAATATTCTTAATCATTTAAACAAATTTTAATTAGATACATCTGCAACCTTTAAAATGAATTTAGAATTGCTTGGTAAGTATTGTACACCTAAATAAAGTTACGATTTATGAAAATATAATTTTTTTTTATTTCACACAATTATTTACTGTTAATTTATTTATATTTATATTTATTAAGACTTATTACTTAGATTTAATTAATTTTTATGTATGTATTATTTTAAGTCATTTAAAGTTATTTAATAAATAACTTTGTAAAAAGTTGTTGATTTTTTTTTTATATTTGCATTTAGTAATGATAATAATTCCTAAAATTAATGACAATTAAGTTATTGATGAGAAAGTAAATTTCTAGGTAACTTAATAATTATTATTAATTTTTGTATTTTTTCAGAATCTTTCGGACAAAATTATCCTGAGGTAAATATAATTATAATTTCTTAATTTTAGTGTTCATAAATAATTATTTTATTAGACCTTAATTATTTCTACTTCTGACTTTATTGTTTTAAATTTAATATTGAATCCTTTAATTTATAGACTTTGTATCTTTTGCTAATCTATAAACAATGAGTATATTGAAATTTTTATAGGAATTTGATGGAGTTCTTGATAGTATATCATTAGCTGTGACATGTGTATTCAATAAATATGGAACCCTCTTAGCGGTTGGTTGTAATGATGGCCGTATAGTAATTTGGGATTTTTTAACTAGAGGAATTGCAAAAATTATCACGGCTCACATGCATCCAGTTTGTTCTTTAAGGTAATTATGTATATATAAATAAAAAATAAATAAAATAAAATAATAATAAATAAATATATTATTATTATTTTGAAAAAACATAATTTATTTAATACATTTTAATTTATTATCACCTACATAAAAATTATAATTTTTAGTTGGTCAAGGAATGGTCAAAAGTTACTTAGTGCGTCTACAGATAATAATGTTTGTACTTGGGATATATTAAGTGGTGAAAGAGAAGAAATGTATAAATTTCCATCACCTGTATTAAAAGTTCAATATCACCCAAGAAAAAAAAACCTATTTTTAGTTTGTCCAATGAAACATGCAGCTGTTCTTATAGATACTGAAGGTAATCACAAAATAGTGCCATTGGATGAAGACGTAAGTTTTTTTTTATTACTGTAATTTTAACTTTAATTACTAATTAGTTATCAACCCTAATTCTGAATGCATCAAATATTTAACTAAAAATTGTATTAAATTATAGTCGGATTTAATGATAGTTGCTTCATTTGATCGCCGTGGTCAATATATCTATACAGGAAATGCACGTGGTAAAATATTGGTTTTGACTTGTCCTGATCTTGAAGTTAAAGCCTCATTCAAAGTATCTACTGGTATGACTGGTATTAAAAGTATTGAATTTGCACGGAGAGGAGAATGTTTTTTACTAAACTGTTCAGATCGTGTAATAAGAGTATATGACGCTAAATATGTTTTGAATAATGGCAAGGACGGAGATACAGAACCTATTCAAAAACTTCAAGATTTAGTTAACAAGTATATAGAATTGTTATAAATTGAATTAATAAACATTTTTAATTTAAATTTTTTCTACCAAAATGTTATAATTAGGGAATAGATTTATATGTAAATGCATATTTTTATTGAAACGAGATATTTCAGATTCGATAAGAAATGTTCATGATTTAAATCATTCTTATTAAAATGATGATACTTTTATTTTACATATTTTTATTATTTCATCATTCATATGTTTTCTTCATACGAAAATACAAGAAATTATTTCAAAATTAGATCAAAAAACTTTTATCGCTATAGGAAAAACTCAAAATATTATGTAAAATGAAACATTGAAAAATAATTTATTTTAATTAAAAATAATTTAACAAAATTAGAAATAAAAAATATGTCCTTAAATGATAGTATGCAAATTGTCGAAACAGCAATTGAAAAATTAAAACTTGTAAGCAGACCAATAGGATATGTTGTAAAAAAGAAAATTCATGCTATTACAGACAAAAATTCCAGGCTATATTAATTTTAAAACAATCATGGCATAATGATTGGCAGATACTCTACTAAAAATTTGGAATTATCGCCTTCTGATAGTATGCGCTTGAAATATGCTTTAAATACCTTAGTTGATGTGGAACAATAATTTAGCAGTTTTAAAAATATTTTGATACCTAATAGGCAACATTTAACATTTCATAATTTAATGATTATAATTATTTTTTTTATTTTTTCCCCCAACATATTTGGATGTTTTTAGCACATATTTTATAAATTATACTTACATATATATTTATTTTTATGACTTATATATATATATATCATATAAATCCGTTCCCTAGTTATAATGTACCAGTAAATTTACTGAATATTTAGTTATTTTGATACAATATTTTTTGATATTTAAATTATTCAATTTTAGAACAATGTGGAAGAAATGCTGTTTTTCTGGAGATGGTGAATATATTTGTGCAGGTTCAGCTAGACAGCATGCATTGTATATTTGGGAAAAAAGTATTGGGAATTTAGTAAAAATATTACACGGAACCAAAGGAGAACTCTTATTAGATGTTGTTGTAAGGAATAAAATGCAAATGTTTGTAGTAAAAACTAAACAGATTTTATTTAGACTGTATAACTTATTGTTTAGTGGCATCCAGTTCGAGCAATTATAACAAGTATATCTAGTGGTTTAGTGTCAGTATGGGCCCAAAATCAAGTAGAAAATTGGTCAGCATTTGCACCAGACTTTAAAGAATTAGACGAAAATGTTGAGTATGAAGAAAGGGAATCTGAATTTGATATGGAAGACGAAGATAAATCTATAACAAAAGATGTACAGAGATGTGATGAAGATTTTGAGGTTAGTAATAATAAAAAGTACACATTTGACAATTTTATTTTTTTAATTGATTTGTTTATAAAAGAAAAAAAATAATTACAAAATATTGCAATTCAAATATCATTCTGTATAAATGCATTTATTTTTAGGTTGATGTAGAAAATGCTGAACCTATTGCAGCATTTTGTAGTTCAGATGAAGAAGTAGCTATTGAAGAACATAAAGAAGCTCTAATGTTTTTACCAATTGCTCCAGAAATTGAAGACCCTGAACCAGATATGCCACCACCTGCTGCTTCATCTTCTAAATGTCGTTCATTTGATATTCAATTGGATAATACTACTGATGGTTAGTTTAAATTGATCTAAGTTTAGACATCAATATTTTAAAACATTATTTTAGTTGAATTAAATTTTTTAACAGTTCATAGATAAACTCAGTCTATTACAATTTAAATAATGAGTACCTATTTTTTCATTTTAATGTAATATAATTAAAATAACTAAATACTGTGTTACATTCAATAAAATATTTTTTATTTTAGAAATGCACCCATTGTTGAGCAACAAGACTAAAGAAAAACAACTCACTGGAGGTAAAAAAGGCCAGAAAAGAGGACCCAAACAACAATAATTAATTTCTATTTGTTGTAATTTGCTGTAATATGTACATATTTTACTTTATATATTGTATATAAATTATGAAATTATTCAGATTTGAGAATAATTTTACTGTCTATAATGATGATCATGGTTTATTTATTGTTTTATATTTTTAATATTCTATAAAATAAATAAAGCATAATGTATTATTGTATAATATATATGTCTGATATTTTGTAATTGTACATTTGTTACAGTTTAGTATTGAACTAATTAGTTTATGAAATAACTAAATCGTATAGATAATGTATATAAATAATGCTTTAACTAGTTATTTTATATATCTCAGGGATCATTTTATTAATGTTCCAAATTTATAAAATATTATATATATATTGTTATTTTACTTGTTCCAAATGAAAGTTATGCATTAAGATCTGTGGCAACTGTGCAGTCACTGAGAATTAGTCAAGAATTTTTAAGTGCATTTATACCAAAAACTGTGATACAAAGAGTTGTGTTTGTAGAAAATAAAGATAATGTGCTACTCTAAATGTCAAAATAGCCTTACATGTACAAATAAATAATGTAACTAAATAAATGAAATATAGTACATTTTAAATGTATTCTATACTTTAACAGAAATCAAACTAAAATTGTATAGAATAACTAAATATTCTATGAAATAGCTAGTTTTCATTTTCATGTATTATTTTATAATTAATGAAATACCTATTTAATGTTTATTTCAGAGGGTTAATACTTCCCTGAAGAAAAATATGATATAATAAACTCAATGCCTAATTATTTCATAAAATAACGGAATTCAACACTTAAAGTGTAACATATGCTACTAATAAAAATGAGGTTCATTACCTTATTAACTTAATTTTTTTATTCTTATTAAAAAGACTTTGACAAAAGGGCTACTAGTAGTCCTCTATGCTTAGTGTGACATATGATAGGAATGTACTAGGGTTAACAGTTAAGTTGGAACTTGTGTTTTGTGATGGATAACAGACGGTGACTGGTGACTGTTTCTATTCTTACGGCTGTGCTTGAGTCCGTAAAGCAAAACCACCCACAACTATGTGTTAAAACACAGCCGTTTTTCCGTTTAGCCACAACACCCTCTTAACTGTATTATTATTGTTGGTCTTTTTAAAAACATGTTTAATAACTTATTATCGATTATTCCAATACCCGTTGTAAACCTGCTATCATCGTGTATAGGGTATTAACTCCGCGAGAATTACAGATTTTAAGCAACGGGATAAATTTTAAAATTGGTACATCATACATCATCGTGTAATAAGTACTTCATATTATTTAAACATCTTAATAACGTACACGAGACGTTTCGAAATTTCATTTTCAACTTTTTACGAGAGTTTTTTTGACAAAACGTTTGAATTGTACCGTTATCATTTGTCAAAAACCTTTAGATATCACTGCTTCCAGGTATGTAGCCCGGGGGAGGATCTGATTAGGCCGGGCCCCCTTAAATTTATTCTTGCCTAGGACCGGCTCCTGCTCAAAATCATAGATATTATTTTTTTACTAAGTATCCAGCACATACTATGCTTATGCACATTAAATAAATCTATTGTGATAACTATTCGATAGAATATAATTTATTATAATTTTGATTATTATATAACTCATGTTAATTAACTCAGATAAATTATTATTATATTAAATTTTATCATTGGCGTGACTAGACTTCATCCACAGTGGCAGCCTAGCTATGACCAGGGCTATGTGTTAATGAACCAAAAAAGGCACTTTATACCCAATACAGTAATTTTTGTGGGGGGGGGGGGGGGTTGCAATTGTTTAAAATTTTAAAATGAACAAAAACCTTTAACAATTTTTTAAATTAGGTAAAAAATTATATGACATATATATATATAAATATACAGTATATTGTATACAGTACCCAAATTGTTTAAATAGTACATAACATAATAACATAAAAACAATGCATACTATACTTTATAATATTATAAGAGTATAAGACATATTTCAAAGGACAAGTCTTCTTTTTGTTGGAACATTTTTAAAATCATCAATAACTTTTTCAACATTAATATTACTCAAAAACTCTTGTTTAATAAATAAAAACAATAAAGCAATTCTTAATTTTATTTTTACTAGGTATAGACATTTTGGAAAATTTTCTTTCACATCCATGACTCGTCACTGGTGTAACCATAAAATATATTAGACAACTATGAAATTTCTGGACATTATCCGATCGTCCTGCCACAGCCAACCAATCAAATCACATATATATATATATATAAATCCGATGACGACCCTTTGGATGTACCTTTAATACTTTTTAAAAGATTAATTTCTACAAGAAGCTCTTAAGTTTGAATATTTAGCAAATTGTTAAGTAGGTATGTATATACAAGATGAGTTATATTCAATATTATAAACTCCAAATTAATTAGTTGACCAACGGACCATCGGATTATTAAATTCGATGTTTCTTGTTTAAATCTATCATCAATTCCAGACAATTACACATTCTTTTTTTTTTATTTTTTGGTTGTTGATGTTCTAAAAACATAGCAAAAAAAAAAAAAAAAGCTAAAATATTGATCATTACTAATTAGTAATCATACATAGGATAAATAATGAATAACTTACATTTGACTCACCTTCAGGTTTAATACAAACAGAACTGGAAATTACATTTTTGCTATTCTTTTCTTTCTATAAAATTAAAATTAAATACCTGAATCGTGTTCTACATACCTTGTTTAGTGTTAGTTTACTGCTTTAATGTTTATAAAAAACAATTTAACTCGGTAAAAACGAAATTTTTAAAACGTTATAAAAAACGATAGTTGAAAATAATATTTATTGATTATAAGATTAAGACAAAAATCATGTAATTACTACAAATCATTCAGTGATAAATAAAAACAGTCATAATATATTGCTATTGTTACGTTTCCAACTTAAACACTTGATTTAAAAAATCGACTTTGTCAACTTACCTCGGTACCAAATTACCATCGGTCTCTCCTAATCTATGACAATTCATAGGGCAATCCCCTTCTCCCTCACGGAAAAACAAGAGTAAATTGAAAATAAATAATATTATCGATAGTTAATACAAAACCAAAACTATACCTAATAATTAAGGCTAAATTTAACGTAAAATAACATATTTGATGAAAAAAAAAAAATTAATTAACGGCACATTTTATATCATTTTATCATAATAATAATAAAAGCAATGAAAATAATTTATTGTGAATTATAAAATTATTTTTCATTTATTTGTATTGTATTCGTATTTCGTACCATTTCTGTACCTTACTATATATTTGAAATGCCCTTCACTCCCAACCACACCACGGAGCAAAATATTTGAAACACCGGAACACAATAATGTACCAAATAAATATCTATTAAGTAAAATATATAAAACTTATATTTATCATAAATGAAGCAGGATTATCAGAATAATTGTCATTTTCACTATCAATAATTTTAATAACAGTCAATAGTTTTAAAAATAGTTCATACAAATTATACCGATAGAGTTACCCATGTAAATAATATTATTTTATTGCGTTTGTCGATACGGTTCATATATTATAGACATAAGATATTACAATACAATACTATGTTATTAGTTATAAGTTGTTACTGTCATTAGTAAATGAAGAAAACTTTTTATAAATAAAATTTGTAAAAATTATGTAACATATTTTAAAACTCGATTGACTGGCACCTTTGGAAAATTGCAGGAGCAGCCCAGACACCCTAGGCTGTCACCGTAGACACGCCTATGAATTTTATATTTGTAGAAAACGTTATTTTAAAGTTAAATATAGGGTATATTCATAGTAGACATAATATTAAATGAGAACTAGTGTCAAATAATATCCAAATAAGTATCAAATAAGCTTAACAAATTTTTCGTGCAAACAAATGAACATGGGCCCAAAATTGATGGCCCTTCTTAATAAAAATGTTCTGGCTACGTGGCTGGCTGCTTCATCTCTCACATTACGAGTGCGTAATCATTTTTATCACTTCCACTAGAATGGACCCTTAAAGTTACTTTATAGAGAGGGGATGATCGATAAAAAGTAAGCTCCTTCACAATGCAGCGTATTGCAGAAAATACGTTTTGTTATACACTTTATTTCATTTTCCATAGATCGTCAAATCAAAATGGTTGGTGGGCTGTATACCTGCAGTTATTATTGATCATTTCTGATGATATTTCTTGCGATCCTTGCCCACTGACCGATAGTTACCATATATCGGGTACGAATTTGCAGTGAAAACTAAGTAGACCAATCTGTCAAAGTGTATACGTGTCATATATTCCAATACCGATTATACACAGTCGTCCGTGATACCGTTTTTAATTGTACGCTCGGTCTGCTGCCCATTTACCCGTCTTTTCCGCTTCGTTAAACGGACCCCGCAATCTCTATAGACACGTTATACCGCGTCGTCGCCGTTGTCGTCGTTACAGTCGTCGTCATACTGATTTTCTCGCCTCAGATCGATTTGCGTACCTATATACCCTACAATCACACACAGTTTATTTATACGTTCCACGAGCCCACTCAAGTCTGCAGAATTTCACAAGCTCTTACGCATATAAATAGTAAACGTGCATGGTAAATATTTTACCAAGTTTTGCAGTCACTGCTGACAATAACGGTTAGGCCACGAGATCTCCTGCATGATAGATTACGCAGCGCATAGTAACAGACTCACAGATCAATTTATTAAAAACGAACTCCTGTTTTTCTAAAATAATTTTTGTGAAAAAATAAACGAAAACTTTTAATTTAGTACTTCATATAATAATTTATATGGAAAAATTGTAAAAGAAATGTCAAATACTAGTACAGTGGTCGCCGCTTTTTGAACTTACGGTTAATTGACTCATTCACCCATCAGACTCAAAATGGCTAGTCTCGATTTGCATATATACACATAGCAAAAAATTCGTCTATTCGACTTACACACCGGTTAATGGGTCATTTGAAAATTAGATAAATTAAGAAAATATGTACATAAATTGAATAAGCTAGTTATAAATGTGATATAAGTCGGTACCAGTATAGATCAATATTGACAAAGAAGTCCGAAATATTGAACTCGTAACCGAGGAAGAAATATGTGGTGAAGTACAGTCAAAACAAAATGTGGCTGTTGGTTGTCAGGAAGCGAAA